TCCGAACGTGTAGATATTAAGCAATCCTAGCTTACGGTATTAAAGTACTCCTCTCCTTTAGATGGGAGCTGTAAATTTCAAATTTCGGCATTTCATCAGAAGAAAAGTGACTACTGAACGGATCAGTTACTGAACATGTCACGAAATATACTAAAATGGAAGTTTTTTATTTTTTCCTCTATAATTGCAGGATGAATCAACTGAAGGACGGTCACGATAAGATAGATTTCCAGACTGAATACTTGGTCGACATCGCCAAGGATGCAAATTACGGATATGACCTGGACACCGCCCAACAGTTCCATGACAGGGAACATCACAAACATGAGGACATCCTAACTTACAGAGATCGAAGCCACACCAGCAAGTTTACTGGAACCCAGTCCCCAATTCACCACTCTACATTTATGAAAGCCCTCGATGACTCGATGGCGACTTTTCTGAACACCAAACTCTGAAATATTACTGGCTGGAAACAAATAAAGTTAGGCGTTACTGAGATGATTCTTGTTTTGGTGTGATTTTTAAAAGCACCAAGGAGTGTAGAGGAAGAAAATATAGTAGTGAAAAAAACATTTCATTCTTGAAAAAGGTATTGTTAGGGTTGAGATACTTCGTATGACTAAAACAAATTTTTAATAATCTGCGGTATTAAATAATGATTTCGATGTAAAACTTAAAGCGGCAGGTTCTGAAAAGTAGCTTAAATCGTTTAAAAGTTTAATGATTCTATAAAATGACATTGAAAATCATTGTAGAAAAGAGTGTCGATTGTGGTTCCATGTTCGCTTTCTACTAGGAAGAGAGAACCATGAAAAAATCGTAGTGGCCTAACCAGTTATAACCAGCTTCATCTTTTTTCTCCAAAGTTATCTCTGCCTTCCTGGAAAGAGGTCTTCAGCCACCTATCTGTTATTGTGGCGAATACAGTTACGGACAAACTAGCACGTTAGATCTTCACTTCCGAGCTAGCCTGGGCAGATTCGTCCTAGACTACTATCTACACAAAGATCGCGACAATGGTTTTAAATTCAAACTCTTCGGTTAAAACCTAATGTGGGAAGCGGTTCAAAACAGATGATAGACACCTTTCGTGTCCATCTCGCAAGGTATGACATAAGAACTTCGACTAGCCAGTCTGAAATCATTTCTTCACCGAGAATTTATTTGGTGTCCGTTTGCCGATGGCGAAATGGAATGAAAGGGTACATTAAAAAAGGACTGGGGTGCGGAGATATTGTAGTGGAGGGATAGATACTTTATTGATCAAAATCAACTTTCATCGCGTGCAAATTAGCAGCACATCATCATGGTCGATTACGATAACAGTGGGCGCATCAAGGACCTATTTCAGACTTTTCCACAAGCTTTAAACCATGAAATCGATGACCTTCACAGAGGTCTTTTAGCTCATTTTTTTTTTCTTATCCTTTTTTCATTACCAGTGGCAAGCTGAAGTGTTGCCACACTGGATACCCACCTCTTCCCCTCCCCCAAATGTAACCTTACCCCTCTTTGACAGGGTCTTAGAGAAGAACAATACCTGTTGGACACTGTGAACTTTGCAACATTGTGACACCTTTGGTAGATTCCATCTCATAACACTGGGAATTTGACCAATGAAATGAATTAGTATTTGAAAATGGATGTTGAATCATTCAACATCCATCTTAAAATACTAATTCAAGTTGTCTACAGTGAAATGAAGTAATTTCATTTTTACTTCAAACATTCCACAAAGAAAAGAGAAGGAAAACATATTAACTGCACTCCAAACATATCTAATCCACTCCTGATGACAAAGTCTACAATTTTCTTCTTCTGCTTTTTTCTTAACTCAGATGCCTTGATAAGTTACAGGAAACATGAAACCATAAATCTGTATTCATTTGTATTGCAATTTACTTTTTCACAGAATCATCATTTATATAATGCAGCTTGAACATCATTTCTTACAGTGAATTGTGTGATCAGTTAGAAATTACACCTTTCTGTCTGTCCTCTCACTTTGTGTATGCATAATTTTTAAACTTCAGCTACCCAGCCAGTGTCTATGCATAAATAACCTGTCTTTGTTCACCTGGCATTGTTTGCTTTACCAGATACCATTTTTACAGAATTTGAACAGAAAGCTTTTCTTGGTATTACCTCTTAGTATTTTTAAATAAAAATTCTACAATTCACGATTTAAATATAAACTTGAGGTTTCCTGACAGTTTTCACATTCCAAAATCTAGGGTAGTTTTTTTTTTTACACATTAAATTTGGACCCACTAGAGAGTTTTTAAGTTAGATTTCTGTGTATTTAATTACTTTACATTTTTTTCTATATTTATATCTTTCTGGCAATTTTAAAGAGAGAAATAACATTTAAATTACGTAAAATTCACGTTCCAGCCGCGATTTAAATCACGTTAGCGTCATTAAATAAAGTATATTCTAAATGCTACTTTGTCGATCGCTTGCACTTCTTACAGCCCATGCTTGGTTTTGTTTTTCTAAAGTATTAAAATAACCATTCGCACCTTCACGATTTTGACTACGTTGAGAATATTTATCTACTGGTTTATGTTCTGGAAGTCGCAACTCCATCCCTTCTACGTGATCGGAGCTAAATTCAAAAGGAGCAATACGATGTTTGCGCCCGAGAGAAGTCAACCTGTATGCTTGTGATGCATCGGGCTTACAAAACACTCTTTTGCATCCTTGGCGAAAATCCCCACTGAATAGGGCATATATTGCTACGTTTAAAGCTGAATTTGAAAAGGAGAGTATTAAAAAACTCATGTATACGTATAGCTTCAAATTATAGTTCAACGAAGAAAGAACGAGGCTTAGAAAGTACGGAAGACAACAACAAATAAATACGAGCCACTGAAGAAACAGCATCCGAAGTACTTTGATTTTCGAACGAGGTACACGAAACGCATTCCGTCTGAAACTATTTGGGGTATTTTTCGCGTGAAGATTTCGAGTTATAACAGCGAATGCGATCCGTAAGTACATCACAACGGTGAAGATAAGAGGGGAACAAAACGCAAGAAAGAAAAATAACATTATGAAGACCTTCCATTCAACTCCTGTGACGTCGCCACGGCAAAAATTTTCGTTATCTACTTTGTCTGGTGACGTTGATGTGAAGAAATACAAGGTTGGTGCCGAAGAACAAATCATAAAGATCCAAACGAAAATAATAAGCTCTTTAGTTTGAGAACGGCTCATTTTGAACTTTAAAGGATGTACAATGATGTAGAATCGATCCAATGAAATACAGGCCAGAAGCCCCGAAGACACACCAGCGTTTAAGAAGTGGAAAAAGAAGGTCAGTTTACAAGTTACAACAAACAGCCACGATCCATGCATGATCCAAATCATGGTCCAAAGAATACACATGAACGGTACCGTCAAGTTTGATAAGCCCAAACTCAAAACAAAATAATTCGTGGTCCATTCGCTTCGCCGACTTTTCTGTATGACCAGCAGAATAAGCCCATTTCCGAGCACAGATCCCAAAAAAATAACCGACAGTACGAACATTTCCGCAAAAACAGCCCCAGAGCTCGAACATCCAGGACTGGAGACGACAATTCGATCGGAACAATTCGCCATGTCCATGTCGACGTCCGCCATACTTTTCAAAGCAGTTGTGTCTCATGTAAACAAACCGGGAATGGTAAGTTACGCGTTCCATTTGCTTGTAAAGAAATCGACTTCATTCGCCTGGTCGCTATCTGAAGGGAAATTCATTCTTTAAATAGTGACTATATTCGTTTAAATTCTTCTCCCATGGGTACCATAAGCTTATCTATTACAATAATTCGGCCAACCTTTTCGCAATCGCTCACTTTCTCTTCAAATGCAAATTATTTGGTCTGTGCAATCGGATCGCATGTTGTTTTTGTCACCTTGTCGCTGGGATACGGGACATCTGTCACTCACCAAAAGAGTAGAAGGACGTAATTTTCTTTTACTAGAGAGAGGATATTTTGTTAAAATCTTACTAAGGATCAAACAGTCACAAAAGAGGCTGAACGCTAAACAAAACACAGTGATTTTCGTGAGAAGGGACACTTACAAGTTTCCTTCATTCAATATATCACAAAGAAACAATATTATGGTCGATAGTAAAGACAGGTGAAAGAAACCTATTATCGGCAACCGCTCTAAGATTCGAATTCACAAAAAAGGAAAAAACTGAGACAAAGCAGTCATTTATAATAAAAGGCATAAAGGTAACTACATTTAAAACGGTTGAGAATAACCCATATCGACGGGTACATTAATACGAAACATTTGATTTCATAATAACTCTTCGATGTGCATGGAAAGACACAATATATCTGCATAAAAAAATAATTATTCACGGATTCATTAGTTAAATGATCGCTAAAAACATACCAATCACAAGATGTTTTCTATAGTTTGTGTATACTGCAACAAGCATAGGCAGAATAAGGGACCGTAATCACCTCAAATTTCAACAGCTAAAGCTTGCTAAGTATTTCGGATGTAATTTGCCGTAAAAACATTGCTTTCGTTTTCACCTATATTGCAACGAAAGTGTTTATAGTGATCTAATATACTTTTTTAGAATTTTCTCTGGCCTTCAAGCATTATTTGAGCCGTTTGGATTCTGAGCGTACAATATTGCGAATAGAGGTATTTCCTTTAAATAACACTGTCAAAGAATCGAACCACAAATTGACACAGTGAATACTAAATTTCAGACACAACCAACTTCAAAACTTTTGATACTCATAAGTTTTTCTTATAATTAAATTTTATAATTCTAGTTATTTAATTTCTTTTATCTTCTTTCCCTTTTTTTTTTCTTTTTTTTTTTTTTGCATTTGTGAGCAAACTATCGTCACACAGCAATATAAATATTTGCGATGAGGGAAGGGCGATGCGAAAAATGTCGGAAACGAAATTGGAAACATTCCCACCCGTGTAATTGGCGTTAAGCGTAGAGTATGTCGCAAAATTGAAATGGACATCACTGACTTAACTTGATCTTTTTTATTGTTTGATATGCGTATATAATAAATATATGATATACCACGCCATAACTATTCACTCTATGAGCTTAAAAATATACCTCTTTAATCCTTTAGAGGACAATAATATGTCGACTTTAAATATTTAATTCACGTAAAAGAAGCGGGTTCAGTTTTAAAATTAAAACAGACACGACTTACACCAGCTACAGCTTTAAAATTAAACAGGATAAAAACTCTTGCTGGAGCTCAAAATAAGATCAGAAATTAATCTATGACTTCCTTGTAAAGAAAGCAGATACTCTAAAACACCACAAAACAAAAACGTCTTTCAAAGTTGCACTCAGAATTTTAACGCAACTCAAATCAGCCTTTGTTTCTTTTCCAGATAGACATTAAAAATTGTTGTTGTTTTCTTTCCTTTCGCAAAAAAAAAGCACTAGAATGGAAGCCATTGAGACCAAAAACGAGGAAGCGTAAGATCTATGCCCATTTGTTGCATTAATTACTTCACAGGTCATTTGATATCAATTTCTTAGCTTTAGCTTGGCGACGGGCAAAATAGACATTATTTAACGTATGTAATCAGTTGGCGAATAAAAAGCTGTAAAATTTGACGTAACTTTTATATTTTTATAATAACAAGGACTTCAAGAGAATAGTAGTTCTGGTTACTTATCTAATATATCGGATTTCAAATCTATTATAGTTGTGTATGGTTTAAAAATTTATTGTTGATAACGTCGTATCATAAATCTGTCGGCCGCACATCCCCGAGAAAGTGAAGACATAGGTGTAAACGTCAAAAGATGTCTTCGGAAAGTCTTCGGCAAATCCTCTCAAACGAAGAACCCATCAATCACGTAAACCGAGCGTTCTCCTGACTGAATCGTCGGCAATAATCAGTTCCTCTCAGGAATGCTTTTCGTAAACAGTGTCACGAAAACACCCCGGATTCCATCTCGCTGATTAACTTGGCACAGTTAATTCCTCTACAAGTGGCGCGGTTTGGGCGAACCATAAGGCCGTGTTGTGGTTTGCTGTAAAGTTATGTTAATGGTATTTTTCGAGTTAATTTCGGCTGTAGCATATACTCTTGGAATTAAGTCTTTTCAAGTTCGATTGAAATGGAAATCTCGACTTTAAACTCGCAAGACGGCAAATTTTGTTGAATGTCAATTCCTTAGGATTCAACGAGCAGCTACGAACCACTGAAGTGGCAAATGCGACGTTGCCTTTGATTTTAAGGTCGTAACCAAGTTTTCAGGCGGGACAGGGGGTACAACAAAGTTTTCTGGGTATTTAGGAGCATGCCGATTTGTTGATGTTGTTGTTGACAATAGGCCGGAAAGGAGGGGGATAACCCGCCTAGTCGTGGTCGAAAATAGCCCGCGTTTACATGTAATCTCATTACCCCGAGATCTCGGAATGAAGGTCTTTGAGGTTGTTGCATGGTCGCCAAGCGTATAAACAGACAAAATGGCGAGCGAACGATGCTTTTTGGCTGTCAATACTCTTTTCCTTTCATTCGGTGCTCTTGTTGCGACTTTTCAGTGCTTTTTTTTTTCATTTTTTTGCAGCTTTTTATTTCTTGTTAACTCTAATCATAAGCATGAAAAGTTAAACTAAAAATAACGAAGAAAGAGATAGAAATTAACGCAAAAAACTCACCACGAGAAGTATTTCTTGCCATTGACCGAGCCGTCGTTCTTTCCAACTGCAAAAAAAAAAAGTTTTAAATAAACTACTTGATTAGAAAGACTTCGTTCTTCCCAAGCTAAAAAAAAAAGACACTTTCAAGAGAGAGTTCAGTTTACAACTCCAACGAAAACTATTCAGCACATTAAGAAGAAAAAAAATTTCAAGTTTTTTTCATAAACACGTATGGGAGTGTATAGGTCAAGTGAGCATATGAGCCAGACTAACATAACAACAGGAGACAAGTCGGGTTACTATGGCAACAAGCAACTTCTCGTCAGAGTATACTATTATCTAAACACGTCCCATGGAACCAACAAAGATAACCTTTTGACAATCGAGGGTTTCTTCAGTCGGCGTTCATTTCCTATACTCAAGGGTGATAATTTAAGAGGCAATTTCGTTGACGAACGTGTCTCGCCCGCTAAAAATTATCATAAGACAAAAAACCCTCCTGGCAAGAAAATACCTGTTTCTGATAGGTATTATTGAAAACTTCGAGTCGATGAAAATCATATTATCACAGAAACGACTATTATTCACATTGATAGACATTTGAGAGACTTTAAGCAAAATAAATTCCCTACCGGCCAAATAGAAGTCTACATTTTTCAAACTTATATATTTTATTTTTTCACGCAACGCTCACGGGAGCAGGACTTAATGTACAGCTGTTGAGGAGACTGGTTGACTACAGGGAAAAACACACGCACGCATGAAAGAGAATCTGACAGACTGCCAAATAAATACTGTTTACCTCTCTGCTCATATAAATGTTCTCAGTGGTTTGAACTATCGGCTGTCATTTTGAGAAAGAGTTTATTACATATTTTAACATTAAAAATAAGGTTTTATATCGTACCAGGTTTTCTCATTTCTATACCCAACCATTTCCCTTCTGCAAATTCCGCTGGGCCAATGTATCGCACAACGCCTAGTTCGCCGTTAACAAGCACACTTAGACCCTGCAAACAACACAATGAGAATGAAAAAAAGGCAGTTGGGGAGAAAAACATCAAGTAAATTGTAGTTTGTAAAGAACTCAGAATTTTTTCTTTGTCCCACGCTCGTGACTAGACGAAAAACATTTTCCTCTAAATTATAGTTGAGTTTGCAAATGTGTCAGAATCAATGCAAACTAAATTGTGCAATACAAAAATATCTTGTGGGCGTTACAGTTATAACACGCGGAAATGTTATCCAGGTTTTCGAACATACAGCGACTTGGAGTACAGCTATTCTACAGGCTGAAAACTAATTGAATAAATATTGAATAAATATTATCCCTCTGTCCGTTTCTCAATGTATCAGATCCTCGGTATCTCTCTATGCCACTAGGGTGGGGAGGGAGCTCCCATTCTAAGTATATTCAGCTATGAGAATTCCGTGTCTTGCCTTGACAGAAATACAACGCAGTGAGCCCTTATCTCAAGGCTCGAAGTCTGCCTTTCCTTCCGAAGGCGCAAGCACGATTGAGGCAAATATATACTTCTTGCTAACCGAAATCGTGGTCCTTCAAATTACAGATCGAGTTTTTGCAACCCAGATTTGCGCGGGGCATAAATCCCAGTGGAAAAACGCGGTTCTGTAACTTACAGTACGGACCACGAAATCGAGGTTTGTGGGGTATTTATCTATCTCTGGGTTCAAACAGAGGTGGAGAATTTCAATTTAAAGGAACTCTTGAATTTAGCGGGCCGTGCAGAGAAATACAGCAGCTGAGTTGACCAATCATAACACACCTACTACCTGAGAGATGTGATAATAACTCTTAACTACGCGCAAGCTGTGATTAGGCGATCGAGGAGTGCCTTTGTAGACACACTGTCAATTGTGTGCGGACTACTGAACATTTTATTTACCGTAGTAAGTTGGAATTCTGCTGACCCTTTTCCTTTCTGTTGAGGTAAACTACCCCTCCGTATTGTCTGCAAGCTTCTGAAACGGATCAAGATTTTCATATTTGCAAAACCTGAATTACCATCATTAGCCTTAAATTGTCAGTTATAAATTGTAACTTAGTGATAAGTTTCCAAAACTGTAAGGACAATCTAAGAACCACGGACTAATTTCTTATCTTCATACTTATCAGAAGCAACTGAAGATGCACTGCCTCGTCTTGGTGTTTGTTGGTCCGGGTTGGACTGGGTCGATACTTTCCTCGCGCTACTGTTGAGGTCTGGGTTGGAGTCTGTTTGTGATAAGTCGCTTTGTGATCCGTGTGATCCAGACGCTTGTAATGAATTCTGGGAGCCGAATTTGCTCTTCAGGGCTGGGATTGTTGGGACTGCAAAGCCATTCTGCTCGCTTGTGTGTGTCAGGTCTGATTTCCTAGAAATGGAAAACTATTTAGCTCAAGTATTTCTGAAAGAGAGAAGAGTGACTGGGATCAAATTTCTCCTTAAAGCATCACTGCTGAATAGGACAATTAAAAATAACGAGTTGGATGCAAACTAAACAAGCTCGTGATTGTCAAACTAACTCTCCTCTAAGTACCATAAGAAATGTATAAGGAGCAGTATGGAGAATATACATCTTGATGTGAGGGTGTAAAAAGTTAGAGAGTGAGCAAAACACGACAGAGATCATTCTTAAGAAAATCTGAATTATATAGCACGGGTTGGACATTCCACGTGAATAATTTGCAGAGGTTTTCGTAACATCTTTCTACGTGCTCTGCATATCTAACGACAAAGCCTCCTTAAACTAGGAGAGTTACTAACTTGGTGACTTTAGATGGAGGAGCAAACACTCCATGGTTCGGTTTGCAGGCGAAGTATCTGACTCCTGCCACTGAGCCATCGTTCTTGCCAACAGCCTGCTCCAATTCAATACCAAGCCACAAACTAGAAATTAAAGTTAAAAACAAATTGATGTAATAGATTCTCATTTCTAGTGAGTTCACATACAATTTCTTTATTTGCAAAGAAACTTTGAAAGATTTAAAACTCAATGATTACTGGAAATATATGAAAATCATATATGTGCACTGCGATGAAGAAATGAGCGATCCTCGCAGCTATGAACACTATGAAACTCGTCTAAAAGGAGTCTTTGATTTCTTTCAGGATCTCTTGGACATTTAACTGGATCATAACAAAAAATTATGATTTCAGAAAGCTCTAGGGAATCTTGAAAATTATACTTGGAATTCAATACTAAGGTATAATTGTTAGGATCGTTGAAACCATAGGCACAAATGGTGCAAAACGTATTTGTTTTCTTTTTCGATTTTCTGGTACGCTTTCGGTTCAAAAAATTCAAAAGCCATTATTTGGATCTGAGTTATTACAGTAAACTATATCTGCAACTAGAACCTACCAAAATCTTTCGATGAAAACTCACCCTTCAGCAAACTGCGTTCTTCCCATAAACCTGACAAATCCGGTTTTCTGTCCGGCGACCATGACGTTATCACCTATCTACAATAGAGAGCATAACCTCTGGTTATGAGCATAGTCTCAGTTATAAATTTTCCGCTGTTAAATGTTACTATCATCTTGAATGACGAAATGGGAGAAAAGGGTCGCAATTAAGCACCCTACTCAAAGGGTACTTACCTGGAAACCTAGCGTTTCGTCGGTTCCATTCACTCGCGGCGAGGGAACTGGGGAGCCTGATCGAGAGCCTGATCTCGAGTTAGGTCTTGAACTGGACCTCGACGACGGCCGTGAGCCAGACTGAGAGATCTGGGCTTGAGCAATACGAGAGGCAGAGGTTGGTCGGGAATTGGGACGGGAGCTTGGTAAGGAGTCTGCTTTACTTATTTTGGACAGCGGAGCGAAGATACCTGATGATTCAATGCACAAAAATAAGTACCTATATTCAGTGTGGTTGAAAGTCAGGCGAAATCTTTACAAAACAGAACCAAAACAAAGAATCAAACAAACAAACAAACAGACAAAACTAGGCATAGAAAAATAAGGATATGGGTTGGAGATAATCTGGGTAGCAACAAAAAAAGATGCTGAGAACTTTTACAACATTGATATTATCGACTGTGGAGGGTAATCCTTTGAAAGTGGATTTGTGGTTAGAGTTATTTTCATGTAGTGCACAAAACAGGTATTACAAAAAATGAACTAACATTCATTAAAGCATCATTAAAGCTTCTCACCCCCTAAAAATTGACAATTTAATGTTACTAAGGGTGCATTTTCTTATGATTCATGCAAAATGTACTAACTGATATGTTTGCCTTTTAATGCTTTGAATCAAGTGATAAAATGCAAAGACACTCCAACTTTTTATTTGGTATGCTCAATACATTTTCCCCAAATATTTTATTGGTACCAGCCTAATTTGGTATGCTTCACCTTACCATGCTTAGGAGTACATTGGAAGTATGACACTCCCCCCACTGAACCATCATTTTTTCCAATGGGTGTCTCCAGTTCCACACCAGCCCACTCCCCTGAGGCAAAGTCTGTCGGACCACAGAAGCGAAGAATCCCAAACTGCAATGGAATCAATTAACACTTTAACTCCAATGAGTGACCAAGACTGAGTTTCTCCTTACAATATCAGGAAGATAATGATGAGAATAGAGAAAATTATAAATTGGGAATTGTTGGTTGATTCAAGACCAAATCTCCAAAGTAACTTAAAGGGATTTTATTGCAGGCAGAAAGGAGAATTACTTACTAACAAGGTCTTGGTCTTATCGTTGATACAATCACATTTTTCCGACAACTATTTGAACAAGTTGCAACAAATTTCAAAAAATTTGTTGCTACTTGTTGGAGGGACAAGTTGTTATGAAGCTTTGTTTGTTGTGTGACTGAGAACTTTATGGACATTATTGTCCATGAAACAGAGCTCATCCTGACTACACCTTACCTTCATGCCATCATTGCAGCAATAAAATCCTTGAATGGATTGCACTGACTTTCTTATAAAGTAGCACATATGAAGTGGTTTGCTGCAATGACCTTTCACAATACATCTTTTCCCATTGTATCATCCTTTCCAAGAAGTCTTAAGAAATTTGTAAATGAAAGCAACTAAATCATATAATTATGTACCTTACTTCCTCCAATACACACTTGATCACCAATTTTAAGTCCCATAGAAGCCAAAGTAGACGGAACCTCATTCTAAAAGGTAACAAATGTACATACAAAATTGATTTTGAAATTGTTGAGTACAATGCAATGAAGGTAAAACAAATTGCATCATCAATACTATTGATAACACTTCAAATAACAACTAGCACTGTTGATGAAAGTTTGAAAAAACAAATTTGCATCATTATCAATATGAATACTAGATAATTATTTTTTTCATTACTATTAAAATTGTTTAACAGAGTGCATCTCAGAATATATCATCACAACGAGCTACAAATTTCATGAAAAAGTCTAGTAAGACTGGAACATCTTATTATCATTATATATACTGTGTTGCCAAAATGATTTTCACAAACCAAACTGTGATACAGATTAGGTGGTACACTGACAAGCCTCCATGCTGAAAATTGAGCTACAAACATTCAGAAAAGCTGGCACATTTTTCAGGGTAAACAGTGAAATGTGCAGTTGCAGGCTTATTTTGACAACCCTGCATACAAACTATCATCTTCATTTGATAGTATAAAGCCTTATGTATAAATGATATATTTTTGTAGCCGTACCTCTTGATCTTGCATAGGGTTAAGTGGAGGCTCAGCTTCTGAGAGAAGTCTTGTCAGCTTGTCAGCAACAATTGCTGGTTCTGAATCTTGTTCATACACTGCAGCTGTACAAAGATAGGTAACTTACTGCATAAGAATATGGAAAGTTAACAAAATATTCTACAAAAATCCTCAGTCAGAGTGTATCATCTCAAAATTAAAATTCAATACCAGACTATCCCTTTTGTTTAAGCAGGAACAATTTAAGATGAAATTAACAAATTCTACTCCTCCAATAAAATATTTATGACTGCCCTTTACTCTTACCATCAGGAATACAGTGCAAAGCTAGTCTGTTAAGTTTGTCTCTCAAAGATGCATCTGCTCCATGCTGAAGCTGAAATACATTAACAGTGATATGATACTGTTTAAAATTTTACTAGGTATAAAAAGCTCATGTCTCATAAAGTGATAAAAACCAAATTAAAAAGAAAAAGATTGGCTGTTTTAATCAGTTGATTGAATATTTTATTTAACAGATGTATAATTTCAGGTAAATAATCACAGTCAAACCTTGGTCATCTTAGGGGCGGGCAACACTGGCAAAAAATTAGGCAAGGGGGTAGGGGTGTGACATGACAAGGTTTTTTTATCCACTGAGTAGGAAAAATCAATTACAGTTTTGAACTGTTTTGAAATAATGGTTAGTATACAGATTCTACTAGACAAATTAAAGATTTATCAAATGATTAGAGAAAATTGAATCAAAAGAAAACCAGACAGGTAAAGTCAGCATATCAATTTCTAAAAAGTTCACTGGACCTTTTCTCTTCAAAATATTTTATTTCCTTCCTTGAGAATTAAAGCTACCAGGGGTTATTTGCTTTGGAAAATTGTCACACCCTTTAATAAACTGTTCCAAGGTTGGTGTTTGGACCATGCCCTGGGACAAAATAAGTGGAAACTGTAGAGAAGTGGCCATGAGTGAGGGTTCAACTGTATTATTTAAATTAAAAAATGTAATCTTAGTGGGCGCTTACTAAACACTTGGCTCCTTCTAGGCAGAGATTACTTGCAGCAATGTGCAGAGATGTGCCATTATCAAATTCTTTACACCGAGTATCAACATCTGCAAGTAAAAAAAAGAACAAGCATTATAACAATAAACCAGTTGTCTGGTTGAGATACTTCTTTTGATACTGTAGGTTGGGTAGAATCCTATGAAAACACATATTCCAGTGCAACAAGCTGCAACCATTTGGCCGTCATGTTGAGAAAAAGAATTTGGCATCTAAAATTGCACAATGAATTGCTGGTTTGGAAACTGTGTTCATTGGTTGTTTAAAATAAGCAGTTGTTTCCTTTTATCACTCCTTGTTTATAGTTTTTCAGGCTAATTCATTCCAAAAAATCCTATGCTTAGACACACATTTTCTTGAAACTGCTATTGAAAAGTATAAAAAAGGGCTTTGCCTCGTAACTCTCTAGTCAACCCTTTAGCTCCCATGAGGGATCAAAACAGAATTTCTCCTTACAGAATACAATATCAAGCAGAAAAGTGATGAGAATGAAGAAAAATATCAGTAAGGGGATTATAAGTCGATCCAATACCAAATTCTCCAAACTAACATCAGAAGTATGGGAGATAGTAAGGATAATTACTAATGAGATCTTGGGAGTTAAAGGGTTAATGACCTATACAGTGTCCCTACAAAGTAGGGTTTTTATTCAAGAGGGTTCAAGAAACAATGAATATTTCAGTAAATGGATTTCTTTCAGTTCAATATAGCTCTTTAAAACATACCTCTTGCATTAGAAGCCTTCAGGAGAACTCTAAGGATTGGTGCGGCATCAAAGAAGGATGCATAATGTAAGGGGAGCATGTCAGTCCAGCGACACTTCTGACTAACATCACTACCCTGTGCAGGTTAATAATGAGATAATGGTTATAATTGTTACTGAATACAACTGATGAAATCAGAAAAAGCTCTTTTAAAAATTGTATATGATTCTATAGCCACCTTACATACAAATTATTTTATGCATGCTCATAAAAATAGTGTATTTCAAGGGAGAAGTAACAAGAATTGATTTAACTGTTCTTACCTTAGAGATCAGTGAACTGACAACACTACTTGCAGCTCCAACATCACCAACACCAACTACAAAACAATGCCAATGAAATCAAAGAGGATGCTCCAATCTTATAAGATAAAGATCACACAGGCAGAGAGAAGAAGGCTTTCTAAGATGCTTATGACCCACAGGCATGCCTGTTGTACCCTACCTTTTCCAACCTTAACCAACTATCTAAAAAATTTAACCCTTTAACCCCTAAGAGTGACTGACATCTAATTTCTCCTTACAGTCTCACCCCTGAATCAAACATTTAGGTCATGAGAATAATAGAAAAGGATAAAAGCAAAATCTCCTTATCAGCACCATAGGAAATGTATAGAAAACAGTACTGGGAATGTGTATACTGATCTTAGGGTGTAAAGGGTCAGGTCAATTATTTTCTTACTGACTACTGAGTGTAAAAGTATACCTGCACCAGCTTTGCAAGCATAATGCAGTAATGTCATGTCTGTCAAACCATCCCGATCATCAACATGAGCACCTCGTCTTAATACCTGAAAGTTAGAGGGTGAATGAAGGTGAACAACCTGTAATGATTTGAATATTTTAAAAACAATCTGAGTTTTAACAAATCAATACAAAAATTATAAACTTAGACATTGGGCTTGCTAAGTCTACCATTTTTCTTGATCATAAACTACATGCATGAGATTTCCCATGAATCATCTGTGATTAAGTCAGAACAAAACATGTCAGCAACATGCAGAACTCAGGATAGAGGTACCACTATGCAAAAAGGAATAGTATTAATCTTCCATGACATCGAGACATCGATTATACATTAAGAAAGGTAATGGAACTGGTTACACCTCATGGAATGTAAATTTGATTCCTAAAATCCCTCAACTAAGCAAGGTAAAACTCCATGCCTTTGTCTGTAGTCTTGTGACTTCCTCTAAGAGTTCCATGTGGTGCTGATAAATTTTTACTGATTTCTTTCCACTCATATGAGAGACTTAACTGGAAAAAGGATAGCTTGTTGTTCAACTATTAATGTAACTGTAATTAAAGGCAACCTTAAAAAATCTAATCTTAGCTCAGATAGAAATTGTGTGCTTTTGTGTACACAGCTCACAGGCACATACAAATCCCTCTAGCTCACCTCTCTAATAAACATTTCAATGTTCTGTTGAACTTGTGGTACCCATTGTCTCATAATTGCAAAAATCTCTGAGATGGTTGTCTTTGGTCTACAAGAAATGATAATTCAAGTTTGAGAATACCAGTACCACAGCTGGAGGTGCAACTGATCTGAGCAAACTGATGTTTAAATTACATTTTATGACAATTTTTACTAAAGCCAATTTTAGAGTTGTTACAAAGTGCTGCCTCTCAAAGTTAAATTAAGAGACACAGCATAACCAGGGTTTTATTGTCCACTATGTGAATTTTAATTTTATGCAATTATACAATATTATCAAAATAGAAGGGTTTCATTTTGCTATTTCAGGGAGTTAAGTCAACTGAGGCTATGCTTCCTGTTTCAGCATAACATTACATGAACCAATGAAATACACATCCGTTGGAAAGATGCAGTTGAATTAATGAAAAGAGTAATCATGGTCAGTCATTTCCTCTAACCAAGAGTATAACCTACTTTTTATGGCTCATTTTATATAACTAAAATGGATTGAAATTTAATGATAATGACAAGTTTCACAAAAATATATCAACTTCATTGACTTGGGAATCACCTCAACTCTTTCAGTCTCGAGATCTTGTTAGAAATTCTCCTTACTACTCCCCATACAATTCTTATAATATAAGTTCAGAGAATTTGTTACTGGATCAATTAATAATCCCCTCATTGAATTTTTTTTTCTTATAACTTGTCTCCTTGATATTGAATTAATTTGATGCCGTAAGGGGAAATTCCCTCTTGGTCACTCATGGGAGTTACAGGGTTAATTTTAAATCTTCTTGTAAACAAGGGTGTGAATGTTGAGTCATGGGTAGCTTACACTAATGCAGTATATTGCAATAGATTTATCAAAAACCAAGATTGCATAAACTTACTCTAAAAGAATATCTTGACAGCCAGGACAGTTTGGATCAAAGAAGGTTAACTCTAGCTTCCTACACTGCAATAAAATGAACAAGCAAGGTAAAAAGATATGATAATAACTATTTTGTTTTCTTGCTTGAAAGAATTCACAAGTATGAAAAATTAACTAGACCTTCCATTAAAATCTAAGGTATTGTGTTACCTGAATTGAAAGACTTTTAATTGACAATTTATAAATGCCTAGATATATAAATCCGCCTACGTAGTTGGGTCTTTCAAATTATAATTTCTATATTAAGGATAATTATTTTTATTAGCCAATTGGTAACTCAATTAAATGTGACAAAATTTCAACTTATTGGAGTTTTCTTTAAGCTGTTATAATCGTGAATAATTAATGGTATTTGCTTGCCGTTTGAACAAAGACTAAGAACTTGTTAAAATTCAATAAACACAAGCTTGTTTGGTTTTACGTTAATTTTTGTTTCAAGTGCTTTTCATAGTTGTTAGACAAACTTACGTTTTCGCACAAAGGAGGGTCTGCTGGCGGATGAGAAATTGGCTTATCACGAGCAGGCATTACAAAATCGGTCACCACAAATCCTGAAGAGAAGTTGGATGCCTTTTCCTGAAAATATAAACACAAAGTCACCAAGCGTTTCGTCTCGCACGAGTTTGTTTACATCCAATAAAACCACGAAACAAATCGACGAAAATTCCTACTTACCACCACACGTAATTAGTCACCTCGTAATTGATTACAAAAAATCACTTTTCACAATTTCTTGATAAGGGAAATGTAAAAAAACCACTAGTTCCCTAGACTCAAAGTTTTACCAACATTTGTTGACATAACTTCACATCGGACGAACTGGTGAAGTACTGTAGCGATTAATCGCATTAATTTACGGCAAACCAGTGTTTGAATTTTCTTTCAACCCTGAAAAACTCTTTAACACCTTTGTAAATGAAAATGAATTTGTCTCAAACAAACAAAATTCTCAAAAGGTATCTCAAAACTGTAAACCTATTTTCCTTAAGTTAAACAGGCAGGCCATGACGACATATTCTAAAATCCTTCTCTAACACACAATGAAATAGGACGAAAAATAATTCACGGCTACAAATTGAAATGCGTCATGCACTTAAATAGATGTCTTACCTTCCCAGGCATTGTAAAATAAAACCAAAATTGTAGAGAAAACGAACTTTGAGTGCAATTTTATCGGAACATTTCCAACGCGTCCAGAATGTTTTTGGAGGGAATCTATAAATTCTGACGAAAGCCGCTGGCCGATAAATTCACAACTCACGGCGCCTAAACAATTCCCCTGTATTGGCCTGTCTATCTTTCAGAAGAAATGTGATGAAAGTACGAAGGATTTTTCGTCACAGGAAGTTGGTAAAACGTGCTGACCGAAGTTACAGTCCTTCAGGAATTACTTTTGTCAAATACCAACAATATCGGATCAAAACGTTCGTAATTGTTCTCATATATAATCCGCACCGGCTGTAATTTGACCTTTAAAACTGTTAATCATTTTAGTTTTCTTTTTCGACCATTCGAAGATGGGAATTTAATCGAATTTGGTGACTTCTTAATGAGAGAATGTTTCAGTGGCGTCCCAAGAGAAAAAAAAAATTCTAGTAAGATCAGAATAAAAGTTAATTATGAAGGAAATCGCCGACCGCGCCTTTAATCTTTGTCGTTTCCTTTTCTATCTACTTTCCTGTGTTTATGGATGAAGGATAGAAATCACGAAATTTCTTTAATCTGTGAAGAATTTATTTTGAAAAAAGGAGCAAATTCTGGTATAAAGTGACGACAAAAGATCACAAAGCAGTCATGTCATCAAAGAGAAGGGAGGAGAGAACGTGTTTGAACACGGGTTTCCTTTAGTGCCAGACAACCGCGATTTAGTCGTTAACTAAAATGCAGTCTTTCTACATTCGACTCGCTAAATTTATGTTGAATCTCATTTATGGCCAAACTTGATATTGCATATCACTCAAAAATGCTATCTCATCTCGCGAAGAATTCCTATCAAGTGACATCATATATTTCAAAAAACGCTCGATTAAACTTGATCTGCCAATATCAAAACATTTACGACATAGGGATTACTGATCATAGTACAGTAACTGTTACGGGTTTAAGGTTAGTAAACGAGATGGGGGCGATAATGACCCAGAGCAAAAAAGGGAGGTGGGACGGGCTGCGGGAAGAACGCTTCAGAAGCTTTTTACTGAAAAAGGTCTTTTAGCCCACACGTGACCACTTGAGGCAATCCTGTTGACAGATAAGAGGTTGTAGAAGGTTCTAATCTACAATCAAGCTCAAGATCTTCTATCGAAAACTTTTACGAACATTCTTTACGAAACCGCTAAATATTCTTTCTCCCTTTTCCGCTTTGCGCTATTGACGCAAACCTTTTACTGACTGCATGCCTAGAAGAGGCTCACTTCAAATTCGCGATTTAACCGGAAATGAACGCACTTGTACGCCTTAGAATGAACTTAAATTCTTGACACTTCAAATGAATACGTCCTCAGGAGCAGGAGTACTGTAATTTTTCGTCGATTCTAGAACCAGAGGATGCATTTATAAGGCGTCAAATCACTCGCCTAATTTTCTAACTACAGTTTTCTAATTACATTTTTCATATTTGAACGGTTTGTCACTCACTGGGGTGTCCATGTCAGGTAGCAGGGGGTGCTCCCATCGACTCTCCCCAGTCACTGAGTTGAAGTAGTACAATCTGCCGCTGTGAGTATTGGACGAACACAAGCTCCAGTTGTCCGGTAGACTGGATTCGAACCTTCGACGAGCTTCCAAGTCATCGTTGAATTCCACTTCCATTTCGTAATCTGACTAAAAAAAAAAAGAGGAGGAGTAGTGAGACTCTTTAACAACAATAAAAATAGCGCTAGTGGACTTTACTCGTCATAACTAATATTGTGATCTTCTAAAACAATCGCAAAATATACAACTGTTGTTAAGACATTGAACAATATCAAGAGATATGTACATTGTCTTGACAATATACATGTATCTAGAATCTTTACAGTTATGTACAAAAATACGTCAATACTTTGTAATGTGTACTTCGCATTCTACAGAATTTTGTCAACGTTGAACGCGTGTTGTTGATGTTGTAGTTGTTTCAGTCTATTTGTTACTTCATATCATGTCAGGTCGAGTAACAGAGTAGTTTCAGGTTTAAAAACTTCGCTCAAAGACATCCACATGCCACAGGCCACCGTTAAGTGTCCTTATACTCCGACTCAAGACGCAGAGGACCTCTCCCCCCCCCCCCCCCCCCCCCCACCCCTCTATTAAAAAAATTCTCATCTCTATCAGATTAAACTACGGAGAAAACTAAACTGGTGATAACTCAAACTTTGTTACCACAAGTATTCATTTTAATATTTATGCAGTATGCTTTGCAACTATTCACCGAAGGTAAATAGTTGTTTTAGTATATACTATAGTACAGCACAAAAAGATAATTCTAAATCATTTATTCTTGCAACAATTACAATATTTTTGGGCGCAAATCCCGCGCGAGTTGCTCAGAGGTGAATCGCAATGGATATATATATTCGGAGTTGGAGTAGCCAATCAGAGCGCTATGCACTGTTTTAGTATATACTAAATATGAATATCCCACAACATATAATGTAACGCAATTGTCGTGTTTTGGACTAAGCTTCTCCGCGGTAACCCAAAATGTAACCAAAAGTGGCAACTGTAAACTCCTTCAATGTTTACTTTTAGTCTGTCAGCTTTTGTTCTGTATCACATTGGTAACTGATAGCGTTTAAGCTAGAATCAAGCTTAATGGTTTTTCTTCCCTTGTCATGCTACTTCATCCTAATTTTTCAATTAATATTTCAACTAGGAAAGTGGTTTGTCATTTTCAAACACGTTTATGTTTGCACGAGTATCATTGAATAGATATTTCATCCATCTTTTTCAAACTATGCGCTTGAAATCGTGTGACCTCGATTAGATCCACGCCGTTCGATGAGATAGTAATGGCAACCCGTTGTAATCAAGACTACCATACAACTACAATATAACTCAAACGCAGTAAAATTCCCGCATTTTCAGTAGTTAAACTGATGTGAAAAAAAATCTTTTTTAGGTGGCATGCCTTTGTTTTCTCCCACAGTTAAAGAAACTTTACATTTGAACCACTTACAATGCCAGAATTTGCGTGAAGTTGAAATTTGTAGTGAATTCCCAACTGCATACGCTACTTTCTCCTGTCGATGCTGAGTGATAAGGGAATGCAAACAACAGCTACTTAACTGAGGAATCTTTCGGAAAGACATACCTGAAGGTCTGTTAGGAAATAATTTACGCCATGTACTCTGATTTAACGGAATTTATCTGCAACGGTTTTGATGAATTCCATGGTAGTCGCTTAACTGATTTTAATAAGACTAACAGAGCTGAATTAAAATCAGTTTGAATGCATAAGTGTCAAATTCATGTTACTTTTTGACAGCAGGAAACAGCTATTCTTTGTATTCAATAGATGAAACTAGAATTAGGGAAAGATAATAACATTTGTTGATCGTTTTTCAGCCGATTATATAAACAGCTTGTCTCGTTGTGGAAAAGCTTTGTTTCGATTTTCAGACAAATTTTACGTTCTCATTTAAGTCGCTTTTTTCTCAGACGAGTATAATTGGTTAAAGTTTTTCGTCCACAGCTTAAGTCTTGTAATTAAGTTCCTTTTCCCTACAGACAATAAAATAATCAACAAAACGACAATGCTTTGAACAATTTATTCCTTTGTTTAAGGGATTAAGCCACTTAAGAATATTATTCACGGCGTGGCTCCAAAAGACATTGGCAAACCGTTCGTCGTCACGCTAGCTTGAGCACGAACAGTAGAAGTGTTAGGAGCCCAACGACGGTGCCTATGGCGGTTTCTTGAACAGGTTGCTACCAACATCCCCGTGGGAATAGGAGGGGGTAGCTCGTGTGCCCCCCTTCTATTTTATTGGGTAAAAGGAAGAAGAAGATAAATGCACGTCTCACCTCTCGTGCGCTATTCACGCTTCCTTTGCGCTTACCTGACTAACTGCGCTCGCCTGAGCAACAACATTCAACGACGCCTGTCCCAAAGCCTATTCCCTGAGTTAGCCTACCACGCAAACTAAATCTACCCTTCCTCGAGTAAAAAAAAAAATCTTAGCAGGTGAACTCCAATTTAAGCAATTGCAGAAAACAAGCTAGGAAAAGTTCAGGCTTCAACAGGATTCGAACCTAGGCCCTTTGTCGTGAATGTAGCAAAGAAGACGAAGAATGAATCTTTTTCAGGTGTCTTTTCTTTTACTTAAATTGCAGCTCACCTGCGAGGATAATTTATTCACTTTAATTTCATCCGCTGATCAAAACGCGTTTTACTTCATTAAAATTGCAACATATCCTTACTATAAAGTGTATCGGCGTTCCGCGAGAATCTGGCGTGTGGGTGACATCATTGTCATCTGTGATGCATATAAATGGCGTTGGGGAGTCTATCTGAGCAAGAATGTCAAAAGAAAGATCGGGAATGGACGAGGCATCCGAATCTTCGGTGTTGAAGTCATCTAAGCTAAAAACAAATCAATAGCATGATAAACGACAATTACAGATGTTTTCAGGGTATACAGAACGTAGATAACTGAAATTTAAACAAGAGGCAAAATACGAGTATTGTAAAGAACCAAAAAAGGAAAAAGAGTGTTTCCGTGGGGTTCGGATGCGTAATGGAGTGAGTTTTCTTCTGGATATATGTCCAAGTTCTTAAAGAGCAAGCAACTACGTTCTAGGGTCCCCAAGAATTTGACGATTTTGAGAAATGTGAAATATTTTAGAATAGATATAACCTGAAATTATATGTAGGAATTATCAAGTTTTTTTTAAAGTGATATACACCTTTAAAGCGGATCAGAGATGTTCCTAGGAAAGTGGCGTCCTTTGGAGTAAACGCACGTGACAACATAAACCAAAGTCGATCCGAAAGCTTACTTAATAAAAAGAGAAACAGGAGGAATTTTGATTTTAGAAACGTACTACACAGTTTTCGTTAATACATGCAGTCTGTTTACGTCGTTGTCGCCTATGAATGATTAAAATTGACAACTTTAAGGTCATCGATCTTTTAAGGAATCATACTAAGTATTGTTTTACATAAGATAATCGATTTTATCTCATCTTCGTGTGACATTCTATGGTAACTAACGTCGATGAGGCGCATTATGGTACCTTTTGTAATGTTTAGAACTTAGCGCGCTCTTATTTTAGAACAGCTTGAGCACTAAAGCACAGGAGTAACATAGTTTACGTCATACAGAGAAGAGAGACAGATTGCACATAATCTAACGAGCTTATTTCGCGACGTCCTTAAAAAGTGCCTCGATCAAAGAAGTCACAATGCTATTTCATAATTTTGATTTGAGGGAAAAGTGCCTTTTGACCAAAAACGAGGAGATCTGTGAAAAATGTGAAGAGTTAGGAAGATTAAAATGAAAGAACGGTTGGGGAGCGACTTCGACAGGCTTGCAAACCACACAATCTGGAATAATCTTAAGTGTTTCGGTCTGTCTTTTGAGTGATTCTTCCGGCTGACCATTCAGAAAGTCACTGAATGACGAAGAACTTACTAGAATTTTGAATTTCAGATCTAAACTTACCTTAACTCAAGTAGAGACATCTATATGCTGTAAAGTGAGGTGATCAAGTGGCTGTGTTATGAAGACGAATCACTCCGGGTCAATTTTGAATACCAAAACATTTGCCGCAGCATTCTTAATTGACTGCACTTAGCGACAGTCATTTAAAGGCAATCTGCAAATCCTTTTGCAAACATTACACATTAAAAAAACGACCATTAGGAGCGAATGTGGGAAAACTGCAATCTGGAGGCCGGTTATAATGTAATACAACACACAAATCTAAATATTGTGTGTTGTATTGTGAAATATGACCTTAAGACCGCACGCTATGTTCTTCCTTTTGATCAAGACCGCACGCTATGATCTTCCTTGTGTTTAAGACATTTCCATAATTACCTCCTCCTTTTTTTTTCTTCTTTGGGCTGCTGATGAAAAAAACATTCTTTGTTTTACATGGCTCTTAAAGATAAAATGCAATTTAACGCCTAACCTGCCCAACAGGCGCTGTATTTTCCTTGTTTTTACTCTTTTGTTTATTTATTTTTATATTTTTGCATCATTAATTTAGTCCAACAGAGCATGGAGAGGTGAACATGGCCACAGTGCTATAGTTCAGTGTCCCAATGTAGGCTGAAACAGTGAAAAATCCCAATATGATAAGTTGCTGCATTAAAAGTGGAATAGAATAGAAGGCCGGATGACAGTGAGGGACCAGAACAGCGAAAGAATTTTGTTTTTCGGTTCAAGGGCGTCTTAGAATTGAAGTTTGCCTGCCAAACAGGTGTCACTTGTTTGTCGCTTTTCAGGCGAGCGCGCAGAGTGGATCACACGCGAGAGAAGGAGCGCTCGCCTCGTTCTTGCGTTCACTCGACAGTGAAGCGCAAAAAGATTACATTACTGTTTTGCAGCTTAGTAAACGGCAACGCATTTACTGCACCATAAGAATGTAGGTGGCTTATGACTTACCACCCCTCCCCCCCTAATATCTTGTCGCTCTCAAGAAGCGTTACATGGCGAAAACTGTGGCTTATTTAAAGATATTGAAAACACTTTGGTGCAAGGAGCATCGAAATGCTTTCGAAAGTTAGGGGGAGTGAACACAACAACAATTATACGTGAACATTTCATGTATTTTAAAAATCTGATAACAAATAGTACAACAAATAAAAAAAAATAAAATGGTATAAACGATTAAAAAACGAGAATAGTAATCAAATCATGATACCTTTGAATAGTTTGAAAGAGTGTATATGATGCAAGTTTTGCTGACCCTTTCACTCACAAGGTCTGAATAACATTCACCGAACTATCTGCCATCAGCTCTTAAGACAAGAGCGTAGCTGGGGGGGGGGGGGCTTCTTTTTTTAACTGAAGCAAAACAAGGCATGACAATCCTCTCTCAAGTCGGAAATCCTCGGCTTAAAACGTTGTCGGAAACTAAACTCTAAGTCATTAAATTACATTACTTTTCAATATAAAAAGTATTTAACTTTGTTAAATATCTATAATCCTTTCATATCTAGGTACTTCGATGAAAAACTGACAATTGAATTTGCTTTCATGAAAATTTCCGAAGTAAATAACGATGCCTACGTATAAATTTTATAAAAATTTAAATAAAAAAACATATAATCAATCATATTTGACGTGATTTTCTATGAACATTCAGTGGAACCTTAAATTTTATCCCATTGACAGATTGTAAACGGCCTCACCGATTCGGCTCATTTTCTAAGTTACACAACTCCAAAAGTTTCGAGTTTTAAACAAACTGTGGCCAGTGAGATGAGGCTATAAAATTAACCTTACCAATGAAATGGAAAACTGACCAGTGTTACTTCTTTGAGGAAACAAAAATAATTTCAAGGAAATCTTTCAGCCATTGAATTTACTTTCTCGTGCATTGTCTAAACATTAAACGTTGTCCAGCAACTGACAAAGTTTATCAAAGGAATTTTCTTTTCCTGACCTAAAAATTATAATTTTTGAAATTTTGTGGTACAGGCAGTTGGTCAAGCACCACAACTCGCGTAGACTCTTTATTGATGACCGTCAAGGAGAACACAGTGGTCAAACTTAAGGCATGCGGAAAGGGCATGTGCGAAGGGATCAAAGGAAACAAAAGCAGGAAAAAAAGGAAAATTCGAGATTTTTCGAACACAAAGCTTATTCAATTACAACCATCCTGTTGATTTACCACTGATTCTGTTTTGGGCTTTACCAAAAAAGTGATACGCTTCCAAAACACGGTGAGTTACCGGCCTGAGTGGTTGTTTGTAACTCGTGCTGGAAAACTTAGTCCCGACAGCCCTTAAAGTACGCCACCTAGTCATCACAACTTTGGCACATACGCAGACGTTTCACCGCTGTGTTGTCAAGGGTTAAGAACCACAGGGTTCTTAGTGCCCTTACGTTTGATAACTTGCGAGCAAAGCTCTTCTAACGAGCTGACCTAAAAGAAGAGCGAAAAATCATATGGGTTTATTAGTCATCTTCCGCCTCCATTGCCTCGGCCTTCAAGGTGATGTGTTTCTGGAATGCAGGCTTGTAATCTGCGAAGTCGACATCTGTGGTAAAACGCATCCGACGAACTTCTCTTCCACGTAGAAGATCATCCTATAAAGCCAATCAAACGAAACATTCTTTAAGTAGAACCGGTGAAACATTCTTGGGAAAGCTGGCAAAAGAGAAACTCCATTCAAACGAGTAAATAAATTAACGACTAACCGAAAAATGAAAAACGAAAAGGGGCGGTATTAATAGATGGCCCTCTTCAAAAGCAGAGTTTTACGACCTGAAAGCCACCTATATCAACACCGTAGCTAAACAGAAAGAATTATATATACAACAAAATCATCTTTGCTGGTCGGGTTGTTTATTCAGTATGGGAACACCTCTATTGAAGTTATTTTCTGTACGTTCGTCTTTTTTCGTCCTCTCAGTTTTCGGTTGATTTGCACAAAACTATGACCAAAAATCCCCATGTTTTACTTACGGTGGTTGGCTGCGTTATCCATGCTCTCCGAGGAGTGTACACGATTGGCTGAGGTTTCTCGTTGATGATTCCTAGAGCTGAGGCTGCTCGCAACACTGACGATTTCCGTACTAAAGAGGCGCCATTCGCTGGTGCTGTAGATGGAGGCTGCAGAGAGTAAAAAGAAAAAAGGAGAGGTTACTCTCTGAAAGATACCAAGATGCCTCTCTTGCTGTAATTCCCATTGAAGGCAAGCTCGTCTTACCTCTTCTTGTTTTTTGTCCGGGGTGTTCTTCACACTGGGCATGTGTGTCTTTGAAGGGGCCGCTGACTTGGCGCCTTTCTTGCGCGGGCTTCCTCCACCTGTATTACAAATTATATAATAAGCTGAGTTACATATGCATTTTTAATTGGTTTTCACCTCTGATCTTCCTAACGACAGACACATAGATGAAGTCACTGTTAACAACATTTTTTCTTTGTTTTAAATATTAAAACAAACAGATTCCATGTTTCCGTGCGTCAGGAGCCCCTATGTGCATTTATTTAGTAATAGATCACAGGAAACGTCAAAATTTGGAAATATCAGTAACAAACTTGGCTGCGTCTTGTGACGGTACCACTTTTATCTTTCGTTCCTACCACATTAAAGGTCACTTTTGATGCCGATGAAATCAAGTTCTCTTTGATAACTACCCTCAGCAAAAGCTTAAGATAAATGTTTCTCAGCTTGTTATTGCATGAGATAAGTTCCCTAAAGTAATCCTTCCTTGCTTGAATAATAGTTTACGTAAATCTTCTAACGTGTCGTCCGTAGATTAGGCACCGGATGTGACAGAAATTTCTCTGCATACAGAGCTCGCCTTTTAGCTGGACTATAGCATTCCAACGTTCCAACGAGTGTCGAAGACACAAGGAGGTGTAATCACTGGGATGCCAGAACAGATGGAGAACATGATTAGGTGTAATTAGGTCGATGAAAATAGAGAATGGTATTATAACCCGCATGAGCTTTATTCTAGAATATACCATCCAAAGAATGACACCGCGATTCAATAACCTATCAGCTACACCAACAGATTATGCAAATGTACCTTCGTTCGCCAGTTACGTTAATTATCAACATATCCTCCCTTTAGACTAAACTTCAATTCGAAAAACTAAGCTTAGAAACTAAAACGATAAGGCAAATAACTTGATCACATAACATAAAAAACGCAGAGAGGCAAGACGTAACCAAAATTCAGTGAAATTTTATTCAGTTGTGCATAGTTATTCACATATCACAATATATTACTTGAATTTGGAAAAATATCATGCTACTTTGTTAAAATACAAGTCGTATCCACATTTATTCCATCGCAATTACACTAACCGTGCATATACGGTAATCAATGTTTGACATGACTTTCTACCAATCAAAGGATATTCCTTGCATATTTTCCTACAGAAAGTTTCTCCAACTCCACACATTGATATTGTCGTCTGAAATAAACTACTATTTAAAGATTCACGACACGCAGTTCCCTTGAATTAATCTTCCAACGAATTAGACTTCATTTGGTATGAGTTTGCGCAAAGTGCCTGAATGGCATTTTGTTCCCACTCCTACCCATCATCACCACCATCGTCATCGTCGTACCCAGGTCCTTCGTTGCCATCGTTTCCGTCGTTACCAAGCCCCTCTGCGTCACTAGATTGCGCGTTAGACTTGGGTCGGGGTGCAAATTTTCCTGATGAAGAGAGACATGGACATGCGTCACAGGTACGTCTAGGTAGGCTCAGTGCGCTTCATCCACATTGGCTAGTCGTCTTCGTGAGAGATTTGGAAGCCGCCTTGTTGGAGATGGTTTCAACGATTGAAAGTTTGTGATTTTTTAAAGAACTTTGAGAGAGGTGTGATACCCAAATGGCGAAACAAAATTGTATTTTGTTTTGCATTCAAGAGTTTGAGAGAGATGAAGGAAAGGACAGCGAAGCAGCGAACTTTTGTGACGACAAAACAAAGCGGATGAAACAGCACACATATGAATAATAGTTCATGAAAATGCAGTGCTGGGCTCACAGCGCTTTCATGTTCACATACTCATCATGTTTAAAAAACAATGTCGCGCAACATAAGAAGATGCATTCAGGCAAAAATTAGGAAATACCGAAAGGCATTGATCAATTAACATAACACGGAGCACATGCATTTATCCTGTAATGTTGCATATACACCGCTATCAACACTGTCTCTTCCATGAAGATACTCGTCCCAAAAGGCCCTCTTAGAACTGAAAGAAAGACCTCGATGACAAAGGTACATAGAGATAGAAGAGGCGGGACTCGGTGCACGGCTGAAATCCTCATCCGAGCCACCCGTAGAAAAAGTCCCTCGAGAGAGTTTAAGGTCACACAGAGAGAAGATAGGAAAGCCTTGAAAGATACAAAAGATACAAATTGAAACGTTAAATATTTTTCATCATGGACGCAAGAAAGAGTTAAGTGGTGCAAAGAAAATCAGAAAAAGAATAATGAATTTCTGTTAGGTTAAAGTAACAAAAAGGCGTAGTGGAAACGGACTAGCAAGAAGGAATTGCATGAAATCCAAAGACAGGTTAAAACGAGTTGTTGTATTAGTTCACGTGCCCACCAGGAAAGATATAGACAAGACCTTGTTAGTGTAACTCTTAGCAAACCTCAAAAGTTGCGCACACTGTGCTGCTGCTGTTGTTGTTGTTGCTGTTGCTGTTTCTATTGTTGTTCATTCATATCTGACATAATTACGAGGGTTTCAGTAAAATCCTATAGACGAGGACACTTTAAGATGTTAATTACATAGAAAATGAAACTCATCAGCGATCAATCCTGGCCACAGCTCAGTTAAAATTCGGCAAAGTACCCCCGAAATCAAATTAGTGAATTTAAGACTGACGTTTAAGCCAACGGCACCAGCAAACGGTAGAAATAAACTTTCCTCTTGCTCAATAAACCAGAAGAAAAATAGCAAGGAACCTCTCGTTGAAAGCAATTACAAGTACTTTAACTAACTGAACAAACCACTGGAACTTAGGAAACAAAACTTGAACGCAACTATCCAAATCGCTAGTTTTAGGCTATCGATACTCTTTTGACTGTTTAACTCCCAAGATCTGATTGTCAAATCTCCCCTTTAGCCTTTACACACTTCTTTGTATGTCGGTTATAGGAATCTGGGGTCAGATCAAGATGACAACTCCTACCTAATAAGTTTGAATATTCTCATTGCCTATTTGCTAAATAATGTGTGGATACTTTAAGGAGGAGTTACATGTTAACTACTTCTAGGAGCTAGAGGGTTAACGTACAGCTTTACTCATACAATACATACGTTTCTTCTTATCCACAGGTGGCGGAATTTCGTCCCATCTTTTCTGTACTATAGCTACAACACGAGGATCTGCGTAAGCTTTGGCGACATCCAGCGCTGTATGTCCCTTCTTATTTTCCAGCTGAACTTTTGCTCTGAAGAACAAACGAAAAGAGAACTGAATCCTTGTAGGATAAGGAATCATAACCCAACATTTTTCAGCGTCACTGAGATTTCTTCCGTTTTCTCGTGTCCAGTCCTCGCTACTCCCGAAAAGGAAGAAGAGGCTGAGCGCCAGCTTATTGCTTGAACAGCGGCTGGTAATCGAGCCAACGATTTGAATTGATCATAAAGGTCACTGGGTCTTCAGAAATTCATTGGTTTTTGTAAAAAATCTTAATTGCTGGCAAGTTTTACTTGAATGTGGGCGTGAGGAACCCAAAAGTTTTGGTGTTGGCGATAATCTAGCAAATGAAGCACTCGACAAGTAAAACATTCGAAATCTTTTTTCCCCGTGTTTCAAGCGGCTTCAACCACTGTGGGACTGTGTGACTGTGTGACCAAGCTAACAACCTTTTCACAAAATTTCAAAAGCAAAGCCACTATACAAACCCTTTAGAAATTAGCAGTTCCACGACAGCCTCTCTGGAACTCTCAATAGCCCTCATTAAAGGTGTCCCGCCATTGATGGTCTGCGCGTCCATTTCTGCTCCGTTTTCTAGCAGAAACTGCACCAGGTCAACTTGCCCTGAGTGGCAGGCATGGTGCAAAGGAGTCCATTTGAAATTATCTCGTGCATTGATGTCTGCCCTGGAAAACAAAGCAAAGGGTTTAGATAGGTGCACTGTAAATTGATAATATATAACAGCAAAATACTGCGTTGTTAGAGATCGTTCTAGTACGGCTGGTTTTCGCTATCTTTGGAGTCGAAGGCGAAGACGATATCAGAGGCGCAGAGCGACGCGATCCGACTTAATGGGAAGCAGAGTACAGATGCTGCTTGTGAGTCTGTCGCTTGTGATCTGAGATAAATAACTTTCATCAAAATGGTATATAAAATTGCCAAATTTACCAATTTGGCTCAAATATTCTTCTTAATACCGAGTTTTCTCTAGGACTAGACTTGTTCAGTCTGTCAGATCTACGCATATTGATACACACTTAAAACCAAATTACAGTGTACACCACTTCAGTTAACTCACCCAATCTGTAATAAGTATGCCGCTACTTCGATGTTTCCATGTGCACAAGCTGCCATCAGCGGAGTCTTGTAGTATTTGTCGCGTTGGTCTACTGAGACTCCTCGGGCAAAAGCTGATTTTAATGTCTCTAAGTCTCCTACTTTAGCAGCATCGCTAATGTTTATGTAAGTAACATCTAAAACATGTAGGGGAACAGAAAAGGAAACATATACTACTTGAGGAAACGCACCAAAAACGCATTTCGATTGATTGTCGCAAACTCACAGCCATTGTAATCAAAACTGCCAATCCGAGAAAAATACCACAAGAAGACATCAACACGATGAAGAACTCAAAGTAAAGTGAGGTGGTTCAGCGATTTTCCATGAAAACAGAAACATTCTAAACTTGATTACTGCTATATCTTAAGTCGTAATTAACAAAATATTGCATTTTTTATGTTACTGATCAAGACCCCTCTTATTAAATGAGGATTTTGAAAGAGTTTGTGACTGAATGATATTCTCGTTGGACGGTGAATCAAATTTCCTGCATGTGAATTTCCTGCTTGTGAATTGTAGTATTGACTTTTTTCCCGATAAACGCTTGAAAAAAATTGCCAGAACCGTGACTTCTTTCAATAATGAGAGAATCACGAGGCGTTTCCAACTTTAGTTCTTTCGTTCGTTTCCCCTCTCACTAAGGGTGTCCGAAAAGAGTTTTCGCTGGTTTATTGTTCGATCAGGAACAAAGAGAACATACATGAACAAAAGTTTTTACGTCTGTTGGTTGCTTGTCAAGGCACTCTGTCATTATAAAAAAAAAAACAAAACAAAAAAATACGCACTCACTGCGATTGTCTCCCGAAAAAAAAAGACAATACTCCGCTTTTCAATCGTCATACCTAGTCCGTACTAACCTGGGAAGTTAAGGTACCAGGCAGAATCATCTTGAATAGGATGCGATGGCGGATTATCCCGATCAAATCTTGTGTTGTCTGTGAAGTGCTGAAAAATTAAAAATTTGACGCAGAAGCGTTTGAGAAGATGTTAAAAAAAAACCAATGGTTATGTATACCATACTTGGTGTACATACTATTATCACAGGCCAAAAAAAGTTCGATTCTATCTAAGCAAAAAGTGACGCATCAGAAGTTCGAACGTGTTTCTTTTGTTTGACAAATTATTTACGGTACTTTTTTTAATTTGTGATTTAAGAAAGATGAAGACGCCTCTGAATAAACGCCGTATCAAAAACGTTAAAAATATAATAAACGCCGCGCCTTCAATAGGGAAAATTTGGTATATGAAAGCTTTAAAGTAAATTTTTGTTACAAATACTTACCACATATCTCTCTACATAGTCAGAGGGTGGGCCACCATGTTTTGTCCGGGGGCCATCAGGTGCTGTACAAATCGGGATGGGTATTTTTGTTTTTCCCTGAGAACAGACGGTAAATTAGTTTTGGGTTACCCAGAAAATGTAAAAGCCTCTACCAGATGTATAATACTTCCGTAGGTTCGTGATAACTTTATGATTAAAATAAAATCCAGATTCTCGAAGAAACTTTTTAAAGACATGTTTCTGCCTGTTAAAACGGCGATAATAAGGTTTACAACATGGAGGACAAAATTACTGAATGCTTATTGGCTGAGACAGAGGGCATTTTCCCTTAATCTGGGTAATTGCCCTGGGAAATAAATATCTGAAATGGAAAACATTAAAAAACTCTTAACTTTACCGAATTTCAGTGAAGACGAACGTTCTTCAGCAGGGCTGGTTCATTGCTTTAGTACTGATTCCGGCGTGAGTTTTACAGTTCATTGACACTAACACAACACTGAAATGGCTTCCTCAGAAATTGCGAATAAGCGTGCGTTTTGAACCTCATTAATAGTGACTTTCTTAAAAGAAGAAAATTTTACCCTTTACATCAGAAACAAGTAATCGCATGTTTCCTCGTAAAATTACGGATTAATATCACTTTTTTCCACAAGTTGCGTAAATTTCCTTCGTCGCTGCGCGACTTGGAAAATTTCTGCAACTTCTGAAAACGCGCGTGATATCAATCCTTAACGTTACTCGACCTCCGAATAACTCAACAAATTTCATATATGATGTTGAAAGAGAGATGACCTGGGTATCGTCATGAAGTATGACGGATGTCTACGACAACCATCGGATTGAACTGTTCCTAAGTATGATTAGAATTACAAGTATTATGCATTGTAATACTTTTATACTTTTACTTTAAAATTACCTTCTTCTTCTTTCCTTTCTTTCCACCTTTTTTCTTTTTTTTCTGTAAAGTGAATGAAGTCACAATAAATATTGACATGTAGCATTAAAAAAAAAACTACTTTTCATTATTTTCAGTCTAAGGAAGGTTGGATGCACGAGTTTGCTGTGGAGTACTAAGTCCAAATCCGCTATAAAGATCAAATCCCAGTGAGAAAAAAATGATTTCAATTAATGATGACATTACCTTTCCGAGGACAACCATGAATTGCTGCAAAAGAAGAGAAAGAGGTCAGTTAGTTTTGTGTTTCATTAACTTTCTCTCAGATGAACAGTATGTTCATAACATGTTACTTTGCTAGCCTAACTGTTATCTTCACCGCCATGTAACCTTCAAGCCTGTATTGGAAGCTTACTGAAAATAGTTCTCATTACGCCAAGCTAAAAAGGGGAAGGGGGGAAGTAGTTGGATACCAGAGAAAGGATACACCTATTTTTTTCCCATGAGAAACCAAGCTCCCTTAAAATAAAAAACTTTAATATTATATACCTAAAACTGCCAAAACATGCGACTTGTGTCTCTCAAAAATAACACAACTTGATAAAAAATTGTCTTGAGATATAAAACTTGACTAACTGACCCCAGATACCAGGATACCCAAAACCCCTGGCAAGACCTGTTTGTTTATGATGGCAAGCTGTGAAAACATCAGCCAAGCCTGTAGCAAGCTATTGCTCTGTTAAGCAAAGGTGCAGGCAACCTTCACCCCTCCTTCCCTAAGAGCCTACAACACATTTACCGGGATTCATACTCTTTTTCAGAAAAACATTCAAGGACTTTTGCAGGACTCAGATTAATTTTCTTTTCAGACTCCAAATTTCACCTTAAACCTTTCATTCCCGTGATTTCAAAATCAATTCTCCTTAGGATCTACATACATTTCTAATAACGTAAATTCTGAAAACTTTACTGCTTGAGTTAAGCAGATTTCCAGGACTTTCCAGGAGCTATAGCCTTTTCCAGGACTTGCCAGTCCTGGAAAATGTCAAAATAAAATTCCAGGACTTTCCACGTTTTACAGGACCCATACAGAGCCTCACTTACATCAGCCAAATCAGTCCAAACGTATTGTTAACAAAGCCAAACCATCTCTAATGATAGACTTAAGGAGATATAGGATATTTTTGATGAAAAAAATTCCCTTCTAGTGGAAATCAACATGCAATGCAATTTTTTGTTTTAAGTGTCAGTCATGTACCAGAAAAAGTGTTGCAAAACTCAAAAGGGAAAGGAACAGTAACTCTGTAACACTGGCAAATGATATGACAAGGTAAGTTGTTCCATACCTTACTAATAAATTTTTTACAAGTGATAAACAGTGGATAATCTACAGCATCTTCTTTGTTTGGGTCATGCATCTGTGCTAATTTATTCAAATCTTCTACATCTACTGGGCAATCTGTGGACCAAAGAGAGAGTACAATTTTTATTCACACTTATCAATTTAAAATATCTGTTATAGTACTGAAATTATTATGAAAATCTGGGAAATTTCTATGCAACATGATACTTGTTCTTGTAGCAAAATACCGAGATCATTTTCTTCTCTTTTATGGTTTAATATATCTAGACTTCAAATTCATCTCAATGTACAACATTGGACCAATATTGCAAGGATTCTTACATGTACAATTCTTACAATTTCTATGATTAAGGAAACATTCTACATGTTTAAGCACATTCCTAAACTTACTTATTGTCTGCAGACACATTACAAAGTTATCCTTGGTAATTTTTCCTTTTCTACTTCCATCCTCTTCCTCTGGATCAAACTGATAACAAATGTTCAAGACTTTTTCTTCGTGTTCTTGGATCCAGTCATAAAGCTGTTGAAGACAAGTGCAGGAAATTGATCTGAGTACTGAATTTCAGCCAATAACTAATTAGAATGATATACTGTTGTGAAAAACTTATAATTGTTATTTTCTCTTTTACATCCTATACATCCTTTCTTCCTAAACATCTCATCACACTTTCACAAAATTTCAGTAGTAAAAAATTAAGCTTACAAAAAAACCTAGCCAAGATTTCCAGTCTACTTGAAAGAATGCTTGTATAACATTAAACAAGGCTGGTTTTTGGCAACTGCATGTTTACATTAAGCTCACTTTAAATACACTTATGAGCAAAATGAAATTTGAAGGAAAACATTTACCATTTTGGGATAAGTTTCAAGAAAAGCATCACACTTGTTCTGTTTCAATCTTTTTGAACAGCAAGAAAACTACAACATCACTTTTGTTTCAAACATCACTAATTGCTGGGGTTGGACAAAAACTAAGGACATTTTAAAAAATAAGTAGGCAAAAGTTAAAAGTTTGACAGCATTTCATGCTCAATTATTGTCCCATTTTTCTAAGGTAGACAAGCAAAAGTATTAGTGACTATAAACATACTCTGATGGCATATGGTTCAGAAGTTCTACTTCCTCCCTTAGACAGCTTTGCTGACTGTTTTTCAGCTTTACGACATTCCTTCAAAGCATCTTTGTGCTCATTATCCTTTGCCAGCAATCTTGGTGTCTTCCCTTCCTTGTTCTTTAACATTGATGGACAACCTGTGTAAGATGCATGTCAATCAGAGAATTTCTATGTTTCATGCCTTTTTGATGTCTGTAATGTGACATTTAAAATAAATGTAAGGATCTTGAACTTCTGTACATATAGTGAATGTAGCCTGGTTTACTCTTATTGGAAATGTAAGAAAGTGTTTATTATGATTTAAAATGAACATCAGTCTTCAATAATTAATAACTTTTATGGGAAGACAAGAAAATCACAGTTCTTCAGGACATGTACCCAACTGTAAAACTTGAATTTGAATGAAACAAACATAACATTTTTCCAATGGCCTTAACCTAATTGTACCAACAACCATTCAACCTGGATGTCCCTGACTTTTCTCTCACAATTTTGTCAATTTTCAAAAAAGTAGTATAAAATGTTTTCAAAGGGGTTTGACTGACTAGCTACTTTTTTATTTTTTATTTCTTTCCATCTTTATTATAATAGATTTATAGGAACTACTAGAAGTATAGAAGTGCATTAGAAGAAATATCCACAAGAATAAGAGAATATACAATACAGAAAATATTACAAATAGAGACTGAAGGACACGGCATAGTTAAGACTAATTAGGTGCCCTTTCAAGTGTAATTATTAACAAAGCTCATTTACTCTTCCCATAGATTTTACTTGAGTGTCATGTCACTATGTTCATCACTTGTACCAAAACCATACCCTGCTCTTGCTCACCTCTTTGAGACAAGAACTTGCATATTGGTCCAAATCCTTGTCGAGCTGCATAATGAAGGGGAGTGTTGCCATCTGATGCTACTTTACCCAAGTCTGCACCATAAGCTGCCAGCACTCTTATGACTTCAAAGTGACCATTTAAGGCAGCCCTGCATAGAAAGTAATGGAAATAAGGATCCTTAATTAATAAATTGCATGCAGGAAGCTTATTCCCATTTTTTAAATCTGCTGAAATATATTCTTATGAGGAAAGGTGCAAGGAGCATTCTCTTATCTCAACATTTACAAGTGAGCTGTCATATTCCGATTTTAGAAGTCTTCTTTTCCCAAAAAATGTGAAATATACCCCAGGTTTTTTTCATACACGCAATTTATTTCTTGAGATAATTATTCTATGTAAACAGCTTCAAAAACGTGATCTCACTATCAATTTATTTGTATGTACTTTCTTTATTTGAAGGACCTGCAAATTATTTGCCAACTCTGGATTCATGAGAAATTTACCAATCAGTTCCACACAACCCAAAAGTAGCCAGGAACTTGATTCAGGTGTGTGTTACAGAATTGGGTTTCAATATCTGTTGAAAATTTCATGTGGTGTTTGAAATCTTTCCATTTCACTCAGTGTATAACCAATGTACAGTGCACTAAGTGCTTCAGCCTAACCTGTGTGCTGAGTGATTGTTTTCACTGTCCAAAGCATCACAGTCTGCTCCAGCCTCCAATATTTCTCTCACACACGCCACACTTCCAGTGGTACTTGCTGCATGTAGAGCTGTCTGGCCAGTATTCTAAACGAAAGGACAATGCAAATGGTAAATGCATGTTTTCCAAAAAAGCTGCATGTTTACAGATACTGACTTTACCTCTCAACAACATAAGTACCAATTTTAATGTTTTGTTGTTTGATTCACAAATTGAATCTACAGTCAGGTACATGTATAAGTTCATAGAATACAGTGGTGTACCTATATTCAAAATACATATGGATATAAGTACCCTCCAAAACTAAGAGGTACCTCGATTTGAATTTGTACAGGAACATACATATCTTGTTGAAATTAAATTATGAAATCAGTTCAATAAACATTAATACTAGCAAAATGCAAAACTTGTCAGTAACATACTGTGTGAGCTCCATTTGGGTCTGCCCCAGCAACAAGAAGTGCTTGCACAATGTTGTCCAGACCAGCTTCTGCAGCCACATACAATAAAGGTTGACCATCCTTACTCTAGCAAGCAAAAACATAAGGCATAGGTCTTAGATAATAAAACTAATCAACCCTTCAGTCTGAAAAGTTGCAGTATGGAGACAGACTTGATAAATTATTTATTTAAAAGAATCATAGTTATTCAGAGTAGTGAAATAAAATAATTCTGAAGTGTGATGCTGTTACAGTGACTTCACATCACTGAAATGCACCAAGCAGAGCTTAATACTAAGCATAATGCTTCACGCAGCATGATTTAAGTGTACACAAGAGATTTTGTGGTCAGTTAAGTATTCATCTTTTCAGTCTGTTATTCTTGCTTATGTTATTTTCATATTGACTGCCTGTCACATAGCAAACTGATTGCTGTTTGTTAGGAAGGGAGAAGGAAATCCTTAGGGACAAGGAAAAGTTTGACACTAGACTAGTACTTGTCACTTAAATTTGTATTTCGATCTGGAAAAAATTGTGGTTATTCAGGGTAGTGAAAAACAATAGCTCTGAAGTGTGATGATGTCACTTTGCATTACTGAAATGCACCAAGCAGAACTGAATAATAACTCATCACAACTAAGCATAATGCTTCATGCAATATGCATCCAACCTTATTGCCTAAAGAAGACAAGTAGCAGAGGTATGGTGTCACAGTATTGTCAGTATTGCAATCCACATCAGAGATGATTATATAAGGGACAAAAAATATTTATTACTATCATAATTCAACAATTGGGACATCAGCCTGCACTGTATGTACTGTAAGTTCAGCATGCCCTTTGCAGAACCCACAAGCACACCACTTCCTTTATACTGAAGTAGCATAATTGCTTACCACATAATTAACACTTGCACCATGTTTCAGTGCAATCTGGAGACACTCTAAATGACGTTTGGTTGGCTGGATACAATAAAACAAGATTCCTTTACCTTCAATATCCCTCACTAAAAGAAAAAAAAAAGACTTTGAAAGTGTACAAGCATGTAGGTACCACTGCACTCTGGGGCAAAAATTAACAAATAAATTCCATGTTGCCATTTGTCTGTTCCATGTTGCCATTTGTCTATTGATGTCACAAATGACATCAATATGTGGCAAAAACAAAAAAGTGGCACATGAGGTGCAGCCAAGACTTTATGATAATAATCCTGGTTTTGCCATCATGACTGTTGCTGCTTTTCAAAAATAGGATACTGAACAAATTTGTAAGTAGTCCTTCCTCTTAGCACAGCAGTGCTCTCCTTTTCAGGCAGTAACAGATAACATTTACCACCTGTAGTACCTCTTACTACGGTTTAATTGAAAATTCAACTTGTGAAAGGATTGCTTTACCATTTTGAAAATTTATTTTAACCTGTCATGCTTAAAATAAGGGAGAACACTAGTGCAGTATTTTTAGCTGGTTTCCGTGACAATTTACAACCTGTTTCCATTCCAAGTGCTATGAAAAAAAATGGGAGAGCCTAGAACACAGCACTTAAAACCCACACTGGGCTTGAAACTAAGTACTGGTACATTGGAAAGAGTGCAGTGCAACCCTTATCACAAAAAAAGTCAACTGCCATTATGCCAATTCTGTTAGGTAAATAAAAAATTATAAATTTTCCTTACATGTCAAATCTGTATCTGCCTCTGTTAAGAGAGTCAAGGCCTGTGTGTGGCCAAACTCTGCGGCCCTCATGGCAGGAGTACGTCCCTTTAAGTCCACCATGTTGGGGCTTGCACCCAGACTAAGAAGAAATGAAATCATCTTCTCGTTGTTTTTACATGCTGCCAGGTGAAGCCCTGTCTCTCCATTTTCAGGTTCTACAATTTGAACAAACAAACAAGCTTCAACAAAAAAAAAAAAAATTCCAAGCCAATAATGAATTGCAAGCTTCTTGACTTGAGTGTAGTTTTGTGGAGGTATCAGATTCACTCAGACAAAGGACTTAAATTCTATAAAACTTCTGCCTAAGAATCTCTCTACATTGGCCAATTAATTAACATTTATCAACTCTGTGAATAAAACTAAATTATTTTAGTGGAAGTGAGCTGGATTGAACATCCAGCCATTAGGTAGCTGGTCACTCTGGTCTATTGTAAGATTGTTCCAATACAGATCATTCCATAACAGAGTAACATTATTATCAACTGGGTCGATAACATAAAATGGCCAGTCAGTAAAGAGTTTAAAAGCTGACGTTTTGGGCATTAGCCCTTTGTCAGAGCTCAAAATGTCACCTTTTAAATTATTTACTGAGGCCAATTTAAGTTATTAACTCAGTTGATAATACTAAATTACCCTGTTATACTTTACCAGCAATGCAGCACCACAAACATTAACCCACTTTATTTATATCATCACTGGTTATGTCATTCATTTAACCCTTTAGCACTCATGAGTGACAAAGACAGAATTTCCCCTTACAATATCAATGCAATATCAACCAGACAAGTGATGAGAATAATTTGAGGATAATTAATTGATTTGATGTTAAATTCTCTGAACTAACATTATAAGAATTGTATGGTTGACAGTAAGGAGAATTACAAACTTGATCTGGAAGTTAAAGGGTTAAACTGATGGATAGATGCACAGATTTCATAGAGAATTGGGCAGCAGAAAGAGTATAGTGTAACACAACAAAACTGTGTACTTTACGAGTATACCCCTTCCTCTAGAGCTATTTTTCCTGTAAAATCTGCAGAATTCTTTGATATTCACCACCTTATAACACCTGACTAAATCATGCTGGGAGAGAATAAGAGCTAACTCAAGATAGTAAGTTTGATTGATGTCAAAATTCACTGAAATAACTAAAACTTTATATAAATGATATAATCTTCACATGATAAACATGTAGACTCTGCACTGATTAGATTTCCATAATTATTAAAGAGTGCTATCAGTTTTCTTATTTTCTGACAGGTGAAAAAAAAAACTGACTCTGAATGATATGGCTTTCCCTATCACAGTGGCACATTGATGATGAACCTACCATTATGGCATGTAAAAGTCAGTGAACCATAACCTTATGCCTCAAATATCCATGTTTGCCAAAAAGAACCCCACTAAACACTAAACAACAGCCTGACCCCGGGTTACAAAATATTGCAAGCCTCTTACAATATAGGTTACATGAGAGGGGCGTATTTAATCTTATCCAATTTATTGTCTATCAGTAGTGATAACTTTATACATTCAACCTCATGAACATCGCATTGTACACTGCAAACTTAGCGACGTAAATTCATATGTATGTATATGTTTCAAAGTATTTTAAGAACATGCACATGAATTTAAAATTCGCCCTTATCGGATTTGCTACCCAGGCAGACCTCAAGTTTGAATGCGTCTACTCTTAAACACATTTGAAATTTAATTCTGACTTGAAGTTACTAAACAATTTCCGATAAAACTTTATGGTGTTGTTTATTAAATTTCGCGCCTTCTTATCATCATCAAATTGTTATGTTGCATAATTTGCTATGGCGACTGACAAGTACGAGTCGAATTTCCGAAACAGCCACTAAGTATTACAGACAACGAAATCTCTCTGCACTTACCAGAGTAGTTGATCAGATAGGGAACCCCGTGAGTTGTTAGTTTTTCAATCTGGTCCACATCCTCGAGTCGGACAGACTGAAGTAACTTTAGAACTTGAAGTTGTTCTAAACGGTCCTGTGCTATTGGCATTGTTCGCATTCGCCAAAATGCAGGAATTTTAGGTCCACTCTCCTTCGTTTCAAGGCTCAAATATCAATAGATTCCTTATCATTTATGAGTACTCTGCATGCTGTGGAAAATTCAACACGAAATAGATAAATTTTTGAAGTTAAAAGGTCATCTTCCTGCTGAATATTGGACCAAACATAACTTGTCTCGCGTGTCGTTGTTAGGGAATCTCGAGGTTGGAGATAAGTTGATTCTGATTGGCCAATGCCAAGGTCCGCTGGTGAAGGGAACCTGGGAGTGAATGCTAAATACGTCCATATTTTTTATTTACCCAGAATTCCTTTCAATCTCTTGGTCTTTCCAAAATGGCGGCAAATCCGTCTCACATTTGTTTGGAAACTTCCATGGTAAGTTCCTTTGCCCGAGTAGGAGACCCAAAATTTATGTAGAATTTACTACTTTTTCAGCTTCTTTTAAAGTGTTGTCTTCTTATGAACTCTGTTTAACACTGCCTAAAAGAACGGAATTGTGTCAAATTCGCTAATTCCGAATGAAAGAACGTGGTCTTTATCACCGAGTCAGTGACAGACTAAGAAGAGTTCTCTTTTCTGGATCGAAAGCTATAATCTCATAGTATTCATGCAAAAACTCTTTAGAACCCTCATTTTTTTTATATCTTTTATGATTTCTTGTTTCAGGGTGAGATTGAATGTGAACTTTATTGGAAGCAATCACCAAGAACATGTAAAAATTTTGCCGAACTGGTGAGTTCCCGTGCCTCTTATAATATAAATTAATGTCAAGTACAAGTTAACTAACGCGAAATTAATGCTCTTTGATATGTACGAAAGTCACATCTGTGCTTCCCAGCTCCCACGCAATTGAAAAAGTGTTCTGATTGTAATTCACTAGAATCAGCTAAGGTCCCCGTTTGTAACCAGTGGTTGCGTTCTGAATGCAAACCCAAGAGTGAATGCTTATTTCATAGCTTTTGTCATCGCTGAACATGCTGTTCTTGAAAACTGGTTCATTCATCTTGCCATTTATACAAAAACTGATAAGTTCTAATCACTTAATTTAACAGTGTTGTGTTACAGTATAATTACCTGTCACAACTATATCTTGTTCTGACTCGTATGCAAATTTTTCCACATTCTGGTGCATAAACACTGAAGCAGGCACCGATTGCAATGAATAAAACAGATAATCATTCAAAATCTTAAACAGTATATTTTCCTTCTGATCCTTATTGAAGGTGATTGAGGTAGGTTCGCAGTTTTGAAGAAACCATCACCTGCAATGCAAACACCAAATTGTTTACATTCTGTGACATAAACATCTGATGGAACATTGATTTCAATGAATAAATTGGGAAGCATATAAGTGAGTGTTTGTTTCCTTACTTGCTCAGTGAGACACATGTTTCGATGTCTTGAGTAAGTGACATTTTCCTTTCCAGCTGATTCATCAACAACTCAAATAAAGCAAATCTACTGCTACTGCTACTGCTTGTTATTCAATAAATTCACTAAGCGACACAACATGCATGAGTGTAACATGATAGCTTTTTTCATTATGTAAATTTTCCGTTGTTTACTTGCTGCTTTTTCAAACCTAAAAGTTCTTCGTTTCACACAATGATGTAATACAAAGGAAACTTATAGCACTGAATATCAAAGGCACATGAGTCACCCATTTTTTTTATTGTGCACACAAAATAATCGTATATGTGCATCTGACTACCCTGCACCTGAGCATATGAAATTCATCTGCACAGTTGGTACTGTAAAGTGGGTAGATACTGTATGATATACATTGTAAAGTGAAATGGGTATAGGACTTGTAGAAGATTATATGCATGTAAGTATTGACATGAGCATATTGGCTCATGATATAGTTATAAATTATGTGTTATTTCAGAAATAACATATACAATCACATCTGCACTTCCCATCAGTTTACAAGCATTATAACCCATGGGGGATGCTGGGAGAACATGATAAAAGTTTGTAAATCACAGGCCAAAGCTGAGTGATCAACAAACTTTTCTTCTGTTCTCCTAACATCCTGCGTGGGTTATTACAGCAGTAAACCTATAGAGAATGTGGTCTATTGCTATTATAAAATAACTATAATAAGACAATCTTAATTTGATCCACTATTTGCAACTTCATTAAGTTAAATACAGAGGTAAATTTTAAATAAATAAGGGTGCAGGATATCCTAAGAAAAAGCATAAAGGCTTGTTAGAGTAAGATATCCTCAGTTCTTTTATAATAATATTATAACAATAAAATATCTAGGTCTGCAAGGCATACACATTCTTGTACACACACTATCACACTAAGATACATACACAAGCATGTGCTCCCACACAAATACTCCCAAAAGAAATACTAATGACCATTGGATAAGACATGGTGGAGATATTTATTAGATTTAACTAATTAATATATAAATAATAGCCTCTATTTGGTGCGAAAAATTACATATGGACATTTGTCTGTGGACATTATCTGTTCCAAGATGCAAAAACAATTTTTCACCAGCGAAGTTTGAGGAAAACTCTGAGCACTGAGAAGACTTAGAAGAAAAAAATCTTTTCTTTTAAGAGAGCATTAATAAATTTTAATCAGCTAACTGTTTTCAGCAGAACCAAAGAAACTTCTTTTTCAGTGTTAGGTATGACCCTACAGGGGGGTGCTAAATATTTCACAATGGCCTCTGGAATATTTTTCTTGTGGAAAAATCTTATAGGTGGGCTTGGTAAATAATAGATATTTGGTGTAATCATAGTTTGTAAGTTTGGTGCCCACAGGCTGTGGCTTTTAGACTACCATTTCTTTTGTTGTGCAACACATTACCACAGGTTTGGCATTGAACAACAAAGGCTCATAAGGGAACAATTTACTTTTGCCATACAAGTCTTGTAACATACACATACCTTTCATCATGTGCTTATTGATTCTAAGTTGTGTGGTTGGCATATTCTTGAGCTGTGTTTTTTGTGGTAGTTGAAAATTTTATTTGCCAAAGCTAACCGGTGCTAAAGAAAATGCTATAGCAATCCATAGCAATTGCCAATTCCAATAAAATGTAAATGAAAATGAATAGTCACCTGCAAATCAAAGGCACAATTTGGCTATTTTTCATACAACAAAGCTTTATATTTAATTGGTTTTAGTGACAACCTTTAAAAGTGATACAGAGGACAGTTACATCTGTTTTTTGCTCTTTTAAACTATTGCAAGAGAATTTGTAAGATGAAGGTGTAGTACTACTTTTGAAGGTTCAGCATTGCATTGCACTCAAGTTGATAACATAGGTATGAAGAGTCTTGTGTGCATCATTACCAAAGGCCAAATATTTTCCTGTCAGGCCTGACCTCACTCAGTCAATGAGCATGTTATGTTTTGAGCATTTCTTCTCCTTTATCTTCCTTTCCACTTTCACCTTGCAGCTTTTGGGGTCATATGGCTTTTTGTGACCCAGTGCTCACACCATTACATGGGGCCCTCATTCAGGAATTTTATCTACAGTTTTTGAATAACAAGACACAATGGGCTGTTCATGTTATGTGATAAAAATACATTGTTCTGTCTCTATGGTTTCCTTATTGGAACCAAATGTCAATCCAGTGATATTGTCATAGCAGCAGCACACATTTTACTCAAATGCAATAGGGAAATGTTCTTAATAGTTCTTCCTTTAATAATTGTTCAATAAATATTAAGTAAATCACAGGACTAGTAGTTTAAAACAGTGTTCACTAACTTTAATAGTCATCTTTATCACAATTATCATCATTATCATTCTATTTAAGAAGCAAGTTTCAAAATTGCCAGTCTTTAAGGCTGCAGTAGACTTACAATTCACTAATTAAAAATGATGTACTGTACTGAATAAAATACTTTATCCTACATCACTTAAAAAAAATAATAAAATTGATGTTAAGAGAAAAAATATATCTGTATTGGAAAATGTACAAGAAAGTACTTGTCTAAATGGTAAAAATTCTGCTGACACAGTAGCTATGAATGAGAAAACTCCTGTCTATTGGTAATTTGCACTAACAGTGGAAGAACTTGTATCTATATGAAAAAAATATATATATACATATATACATTAAACCCCTGAAGAGTGAAGTGATTCATGAAACGGGCTTGTCAGGAAAATGTAGTTGCGTCCTTTTTTCCTCTTAAATTATTTATATATAATTATATATATATAGTGAAGTGAAAGCCCAATTCTTGGCAAGTACCCCCATACCTGCTGCTCTTCCCCAATTAATGATAAGATAGAGGATTTTTTTAGACTTTTCACAGGTGTGGGTCAAAGAAAAAATTCTGAGTCCCCATGAGGAATTGAACCTCAGACCTTTAGATTCTGCACTCTGATGCTCTACCACTGAGCCATAGAGACTCTATGGTGAGCAAGGCTCATTATAAATTTTATATCACACATGTCCTGTATACTGAGAAGATGATATTTATTCTGTCACACTGTCATTTGCTGTTAACCATAGGGTCTGCAAATTACCTCTCTGATTATACTCCATGCTCTTTCACACATGCTCACTTTGCACACTTCCTTAATTGACTATAAAATGGAAAAATAGTTGTGGACAATTTATGATGACGTATCTGCCATGTTATTTACATTGCAGGCACAGAGAGGATATTATAATAACTGCAAGTTTCACAGAATTATAAAGGTATGTTTTAGTACTTTATGTATTGTCTAATAGGATAACTTGCAACATCAGAATAACTGTGAAAGAGAAGAATGGAAATTATACCATAAGGTGGTATTCAGTGAAATTACAGATCTTTTAAAGATGCAAACTATCGCTAGAAAGAAAGCCACAAGTTGTAGCTCCCCTCCCTGAGTATGAAGTGTAATGGAAATATACTTTGTATTTCATGATTCAAAATGGAAATGTTGCAACAGTCGTAGAAAAAAACATGTAGCAACATTAAAATAGCTGCCCTGCCTTACCCTCCCTGCCCTGGGATGCTTGCTGCAATATTTTGTGTGAGCTATGTATCCTTATCCTGAAAAATAAATAATATGAATGAAATACCCTGATAAAATGATCTGATTGGGATCAATGTTGGGATCTGATTGGTACTAGCAACAAATCTCCACTGCTGACATAGATACTACTCTACAGAGAAAAAATACTGAAAACTGCACTTAAAAAAACAAGGCATTCAGCAAAGCAACAGTTATGGTATAAATGAATACAAAACCAATCTTCTAATGGTATAATTTAACCAACAGAAAGAGCTCCTACAAACTCAACTACTTAACTAAACAACGTGTAATAATTCATACTAAGGAGCAAATCCCATAGATAATACAATAATTATCCTTTAAAACTTATTTAGGCCTACAAAAACTTAGCTCATCACTGACACAAGCTCATTTTTGACTTTAATTCTTGAAATGCACTATCTTTGAAGAATATTATAGTAGCTCTCTCCTCAGTGTAGCTTTCCTACAGCAAGTTTTATGTTTAGTTTGGCAGCTCCTTGATATTATCACTAAAATCATCATCATCCTTGTTGTTGAGCGCAGTGGTAATGATGAAATGCCATGATCGTCATCATTATCATTATGACTGCCATCACTATTATCATTGCTTTTGTCTTTGTAGTCATGAGCGTTAGTATCAGTGTTATCACCAAAGTCGTCATAGTTGTTATTGCCATTGTTATTATCATTGCTTTTGTCTTTGTAGTCATGAGCGTTAGTATCAGTGTTATCACCAAAGTTGTCATAGTTGTTATTGCCATTGTTTTTTTGCCATCATTATTTGCACCATCAGTAAATAGCAGCTTTTGTATACCCTGAAATTGAGAACAAGTTCAACGTGCAGATCAGTGAATTTCCCTAAACTTCAAATCATGTGACATAATAGATTTAGTTGTTACTATAATTTTTCATATTTGAACGCCTCAATTCAAGGAAAGCTTTAGAGCACATCTTTCAACAAACTGATTGATGTACACTCAATAAGGAGTGTTGAATGATGGTAAAACGATTATTTGTGTATGACTTGCTTCCTTCAAATGCTCCTTTATTTATAGAAATGTTTTCAAGAAAACCCTTATAGTAATGATTAATCTTAACCTCAGATTTTTAACCATAATGATTTACCATGATAACCTAAGTAAACACTCAATGCGAAAAATTTAGTATTTATTGCGTCATTTTTTTCAGATCAGTTTACTACGTCTTCTATAATACATTTTTACCCCTGAAACTCACGATTTTTCATTCACCAGTCGCTTACCACATTTCTCAAGTGTGTGGTATATAGCTGCTTCATTTTGCTACTGTTTTTTTTTTTTTTTTTTTTTCATAAACAGATTGTAGGCACAAGCATTAAAAACTGTACATTCTCTGTATTCAAGGGGCATTCAGGAAATTTATCTGCAAGCTTCATGTACAATCGTAAAACCTTCAAAACTGCTAAAGATGTGCAATAAGGGAAACATTGAATGAAGACAAACATACTTTGCTGTCTCTGCATTTTGTTAAGAGAACATAATTGACTTGACTCTGATGATGACTTCCGCTCAGGTTGTCAAAACATCAGTCACCACTACCAACAACAGTCCTTCTCAGGACTACACTCACCCGGACGATCAAACTACACTATTTCATGTTACCCCCGGGTTCAAACCATTTACTGTATTGTAGCTATTGATTGCTGCATACTACATTTTGATACCAGTCCTGGTAAACAATTACCCCAAGTAACTATCTAATAACATTCTTTGTAAAAGTAACTACCTCATAACATTCTTTGTAAATTTGTTTGAGGGTCACCACTAAATTCTATTTGACAGGATTTCATGATTCAAACAGGAGACCCCACAGGAACTGGTCGTGGAGGAGCTTCTGTGTATGGGTGAGTCTGGTCACTTTCCAAGCTTTTTAAATCTACCATGCATTATATTTGTTTTCATTAGTTGTCTTCCGATATGGTACCATAACTCTTTTGAAGAGTTCTTTAAATAATATTGACAATAATGTTGTTTTTGACAATCTTATTTTAAATTTACGAAAGTCAGAGGACTACAAACTAGAATGCTACTTGGAACGCCAAGTTCCATTTGTCATGACTGGCTAGATTTGCTGTTCTATTTATAGCTATAGATGGACCTGTCAGCTTTAAAAAATATCCTTCTATTTGCTATACATGCCAAATTTTTTGGAATGCTTTGAGCCAACTAACGAAAAGGCTACAGAGTACAATGTAAAAGATTTAAAAAAGAAGTTGCTAATTCTTTTGACAATTTAGCAGCTGTACAAATTTAATTTATATTCTTGTGGAAAGTGAAGCTTCACTTCTCATTCATACTGCCAAGAACTGGTTTTCAGAGGACAACTACAATTTACTTTCAGGAGCCCAAATCACCATTACAATGGAGACCCTTTTCTTCTCATTTTTGCAGCCCTATTTTTCAACACTTCTTGATATAACCTGCTACATTTTCTAGTATATTGATTTGTTTAACACATGTTGTACACAGGCCTGCATTTGAAGATGAAATTACAAGAGATTTAAAACACACAGGAGCAGGAATCCTTTCAATGGCAAACAGGTAAACATGTTCCATTGAGTTAATATTAGCAAATGTGATGTCTAGTCACTAAAATTTAATTGATTTCATTTGTACAAGAAATGATAGGGTAGAAAGAGAGAGGTTACCTTTTATTACTTTTGATCACCTTGCCAAATACTTATAGTAGCTTTTACCCTTAAGGATAATCATGATTTGAAGGTTAACAGCTAACACTTTTCAAGAATAATCTGCTATCAAGAACACATCAGACAGGAAAGGTAATGAATCCCATCTAAACAACATGCTGGGCGATACATTGTTAAATGGGTCGGTAGGATTGGCTGACTGTCTTTGAATGCTTTGCCAATTAGTTTCCCTTTTAATGAATGAGAAGCATCAGTTGTGTCAGTGACTCTTATTACATTTAGCTAAGCTTTTGAAAGAGGATCAAGTTACAATGGGTCTCTCTTTCCATAAACTTCTCACTCATTAGTATAGTATACTTTTGTTGCTAATTTAGTATGATTTAGTTGCATGTTGTTTATTGCTTGTTAGCAATCAATAAATCTCTCAAAAGAATGCCTTGAATGAGAATGTACTTGCCAAAAGTATCAAAGAAAAAATGTATCACATGTTGAAGGAGGTATACAGTTTTATTTTATTGAATATAAAGAGTCAAATGATTGATCAATAGCTTTTCGAAACATGACAGCAAAACTTTAAATCAGTCTTTCTAATAATTGAACTTCATTTTTTCTAAAAAACTGTGTTTTTTCCAAATTTGAGCTTCTAAACTTGGAGACAAACTGGCATTTATGGTATTTCTTTCTTCCTGCTTGGCCTCAGTTGTCTGCTGGTGGTGTGTTCAGCTGATGTGTCCTTGGTATTTTCGGCATTTCATTTCTTCCCATTTGATGTCAGTAGTGTGTCACTGGTGTTTTGGCCGAAGTGTCAGTTGAGGTGTCAGTAAAGATTGGATTCATTACCTTACCTTGTCAGACAATGAAAATGATATGTTTCATTCACTGTCTTCTGTTGTATTGATGTATGTAGTGGTCCAAACACAAATGGAAGCCAGTTTTTCATTACCTTAGCTCCAACACAGTGGCTAGATGGTAAGGAACTTTCTTTCTTTTTTCATATATAAGATAACCACCGATGGAATGAACTAAATAAATGTAGCATACAGCATATTCTTTCTCAACTAAGCAATTTATTCTCTCTTCCATGTCTGACTGATAAAGCTCAGAATTCTTACAAAATTAATGCTTGGCTCAAATCTGACATCAGATCAATAGTTTGATCTGCATTTTTGTTTGAGTTTAATCTATCACATGCTTAGTCTTTCTAGGGATAGGTTTATTAATTTCAGTTTTATTATTTAATCATTTAAATTTTGATTTGATGTTAGTTATGTAAAGTGCAATTGAATATATTCACTTCGAGATATGCGCCATATTTACACACTGTATTTCCTCTTATAAGTGCCTGCACTCTAATTAGCACCCTCCCCCTGATAAGTACCAACTCCCAAGGCCATTACTCCAAACAAGCATCTCCCTCAAATAAGCCCCCCCTCCCTCCCCCTCCCCCCTTCTTTCCTCCTCAGCCTCACTGTGACTTTTTTAAGAAGTAGGGATACAAAGTTGCATTTCTCGTGATGAGCACTGCTCCTTATTTATTCATGTTTTCAATTTTTATGAGAGTACATGTAAAAGACAATGATGCAATTTTCTGCAGGTAAACATACAATATTTGGCCGTATTAGCCATGGGATCAGTGTTGTGCGGAGGATTGGACTAGTGGAGACAGACCCTGGTGATAGGTATGCGTGAAATCAGAGCTTTTATTTTTCACACAGTCATACATAAAACTTTGATCAAACTGATTAGAAATGAAAACCTTGGCCTCCAACTCCAATTTTTAACTTAATACATATGATAGGTAAATACATTAAACATTGAAGCTTTCCTCTCATTTTAATTGAATCTTACATTTTAAGAGTTTTGATTAAATTTTTATTTTATTGACAATGCCTGGCATTCTTCTATATGTTTCTAGTTGATATATTTTTTCATAAGATAAAATTAGCTGTTTCTGTGGCACACCAGAACTGTAAAGCATTCACACCCAGTGTCCAAATAAAGTATATTCCCTGCCTTATTGCTATAATTGCGCACAACAAAATTTGACATCCAGCCAACTTTCCAAAGTACTCAGCTACATACACTTGTGAGGCAGTGTTGAGAGTCATTATCACAAGCCATCTACTATAGTTACCATGACAGGGAGGGGGGGGTAAAAGAGTTGACCCTTTAACTCCCAAGATCTCATTAGTAATTCTCCTTACTGTCAGCTATGTAGTTCTTGTGATGTTAGTTTAGAGAATTTGGTATTGGATCAACTAACAATCCCCTAGTTAAGATTTTTCTTTAATCTCATTACTTATCTGCTTGATATTGTAATGATATATTAAGGAGAAATTCTGTCTTGGGTCACTCATGGGAGTTAAAAGGTTAAATGTTCATTATCATTCTTTATTAATGCCCATTTCTTTCCCTTTTCCTTTAAATTTTTAATTTTTTTTTTTTGTATTTTGATCTTTTGCAGTGTGCATGATTTAACATGTTTATTTTGTCCTTCTTTCAGGCCACTTCATGATGTTTACATTTTAAATGGGAAAGCAGCATCAAAATCCACATGAGACATAACTATTTTATCAAGTCATTGAACCATCCATCAATGTGCAAAATAAGAACTACACACCTATCAGACTGTTTCTATGTTGATGTAAGGAGATCTATAAATAACATCATGTCAAACTGTCATATATTGATATGTAGATGTTGTTATTTGTAACATGAGCTGAACAACATCCATTTTACAACATTAAAAGTTGTCAATAGTGTACCTTATTTTGTAAAAGTAGGGATAAACTTTAAACAGTTCATTTTTTATTAGTTTTCCAAAACACATACTTTGTAATAGATAAATTCTGTCTTGTAAGATGTTTGTTTGTTTGTTTTTTTAAGTTAATTTCCATGTATTTCCAAATGATAATGATGAAATACTATATCTGAGAAGTTTGGTGTCATGTTTTCTTTCACTTTTCAATACCTGCAGTAAGCTTTTGATCGAATCCTAACTTTACTTAGCTTACTAGATCTTAGCAAATTTAAATGTAATTTTCTGATGGAGTGAAAAATGTTTCTCCATTCACAGATCAGATTACTTCACCCTTTAACTCCTAGGATCTCATTTGTAATTCTCCTTACTGTCTGCTAGGTAGTTCTTGTGACATCAGTGTGGAGAATTTGGTATTGGATCAACTAATAATCCCTTAATTTATTCTCATCACTTGTCTGTTTGATACTGTAAAGAGAAATTCTGTCTTGGTCATTCATGGGAGTTACAGGGTTAATAATGATTAAGAACTTCTTTTGTTCCATGATACTCTTGTGTGACAAGGTTACAAAAATGTTGATTATTGTGTTGACAGTTCGAACCCATTTCAGCCTCTGGACAGGTGAAGTACCCATTGTTCTTTGCTTGTCCTATTTTTAACTAGTCACCAATAACCAGAAGCCTGATACTAGTTCAATAAAAATCCTCATAGAAAAGTAGACATTAATTGACTCGTAAAATTTGAAGCCAAAACCTTAACTGTATTTGAACTTTGAAATACAATGTGAGAAGTCTTTTCTATAAGCTTTAAGTGAAAAATAGTTGGGTTTTGGGAATGCCATTTTCCCTGACGACGCACTGGTGTAATTTGCTGTCTCACCATTGACTGAAAGTATAGAATGTGCTCTATTTTCCTATGCCAAAACCTGTAACTGGATTTTGATTAATATTTCTGAGTGATGAGTTGTGTAAGGCAGGTTGGAAAAGTCCAGGTAAAAGAGGTGTGGACTCAAGACCTGGCTTGTGCCCAATTTATGTAATATTCTGGGGCACCATACTTGCCAGTAACAAACTGCTGTGAAAATCTGGTTAAAAGCTGAGGACTATCTGTGACAGATCAGAATGACATCTTGAATAAATACCATTGGTGTTCAAATCAGGCCCTCTTGATTTAGCTTAAATTATTGCTTGTAAAATAAAGAAGAGAGAGGAAAATGAAATGCTCTGGCTGATAATGCTGAGGAAATGGTTTCAGTTTATACAGTCCTGTCATCCCCTCAATGAATAAAAATTTTTTTAACTACATACATGTGTACTTATAAGCCTGTAGTAAGTTTTGTTTTAAATTGCTGTCCATTTTTAAACCTTACAGGTGCATTTGATATCTGGCCTGGTGTTCACCAAAAGTGGATGACAACTTGTAAGAAAATAATGAC